AATTGTGTACGTTATGGGGCCCTTTATCTGCTTTGGTGAAATATGAATTTCACCTCTGTTATGACCCTTGGTGAAGTCATTCTTGCTCATCTGAAGAGGCGTCTGCAGTCCTGCCACAGCGAGGTATATTTTTAGCACTTTTTCCAAGATAGCCGAGGCCACCTTGAAAACCTATCCAAGTACGTTTTGGTTATGCAAAGATTGTAGGCCAAAAGCCAGGAGTTCCTGGGGAGAAGGGATTTTTTTTTTTAGGATTGCATTTGAAATCTTGTTTTGCAAGATAAGTTTCCTGTTGAGTCAATTTTTGTGTTTGTGAGTGTGTGTCGTTATTACATTAGTATGGGAAGATTCAAAGGAAATTTAAATAAACTGACTTCATTTTACTGTATTTTATTACCTGTTTGCGAAATATTGGAGGCTAGTACTAAGTTTCTCTCTAAAATTCAGATAAAATCACTTGTCACTTACACAATGATATCTAGTTTTATTTTTATTTTATTTTATTTATTTTATTTTCACCCTAAAATACAACTAAGTGTATTGATATGAGGGAGTTGCACATAAAACCTTGACCAGGTTTCTTAAACATTTCACAGAATTTTTACAGTCCATAAATCAAGTGTGTAGCTTAGTTAAAGAGTTTTGAAGCTAGGAACTGAGCTTAAAATTGGAAACTGCCATTTAAGGTTTTCCCTTCCCCTTTAGCCTTCCCTTTCAACCAGATTCTTTTATTTCAGTTGTTTTCACACTGTTAAGTGTTCTGTGGAAGGTATCTTGGTGAGCCAGGACTGGAGTGAGGGTCACAGGCGGGACGGGGCTGTGAGGAGGCTGAAAAGAGACCTAGTTTCCCAGTTCTCCTTGAATCCCAGGTATTTCTTCTTTGGGTATTCTATACATTTGGCGTCCATGTAAGGTTTTGAGGAGACAGTGCTGGTTAAAAAACAAAAGGGTCTGAACTATTGCTGTATATCTCATGGATCAGTTTTGAGGAAGGAGGCCAGCTCATAGTAGGCTGCAAGCTGCAGTTCTTGTGACCAGAGGTGGGGCCCGTTTGACCCGTAAATTTGTATCCAGTAAGGGCTGATCTCTAGCTTTATTGGTGTTCTATTACCCACCTGTGTTGGGTTGATAGTAACTGACTTTATTTTTAAAGTATTACAAGTTAAACTTCACTAAAACCACATCAGAAAACTAGGATGTCACAAAGGATTGGTTATGATAAAAGGGAAAACATGGACCAATTATTTTACATACATCTGAGTGTCTGTTGTACTCAGGACTCACCATTGCTGGAAATTAAAACAAAACAACTTCAAAACAACACCATACAGCATAGATTTCTCGTTATGTAAGCCATTGTTGGAAAAAGGTTTGGATGACCTTGAGCTAAGATCTTTCCTTTTGCATGTCCATTCCATTTGTAGCTTTATTTACTTCAGATGTCTGAGTTGGAAGGAGAGCTCAGAGACATCTCATAAGCCAGGGGTGCAGATCAGAATTACTTGTAAAACAAAGAACATTCATACAGTGAAATGCATTACAGCAATAGAAAGAATGAAGGTCTTTATGAACTCATGAAAATGATTGTTAAGATGTGTTAAGATCTTATGTAATGAGAGCAAAATATTGGACAGTTACATATCCACCATGGTTCCATTTATGTAGGGGGCAAAGTGTGCTTAGGCATTCGTAAAGCAGACTCCGGAAACTACTAACTTTGGTTGCCTTCTGGGGAGAGAACTGAGTAGAGGCTGGGGACAGGGGTGAGAAGGAGATTTTCCCTGCTTTATTCTATGGTACTTTGAGAAACTCTGGGATCATGCATATAATATATATTCCCCAAAACAAAACCAGAACAACCTCCCCTGTCCCTGGCTGCCTTTTCCCCTTCTGCTGGTAAGTGCAGGTGTATAGGAGAGTGCTGCCAGGTGGTCTTGAGGGTGGTTTTATCATACATCTCAGCTCCTCAGAGTAGCTCACTCCCTGTGAGAAAGCATCACAGGAAACACTAGCTTCTCCCTTTTTTGCCATTGATGATTGTGATATAGAGAAATTTTTAACTTCTCTGTGCTTTCAGATTCCTTACCTGTAAAAAATCAGTGTTAGTTGGGTAAACCTGAAAACCTCCCGATTCTTAGATTTTCTAACTTTCGTGCCTTGGACCTTGGCGGAAGCAGGTAGGAAGCAGTCAGCTGGCTCTTGCTGTCTTCTGACCCATTCTGATGATTAAGGAGCATGAATGTATTTTTAAAAATTAAGAAAGTGTAAGAGGGGAATGTTTTTAAAATTTGAGGTAGAAAAGGTCTTCGGAAAGATGAAACAAGTTGGGAAGGCCAAAAGAAAATGTTTGTACCATGACGGTCACACACATGGCCAGCAGAACCCCATGGCCTCGGTCACCTTCTCCCTCACTCTTCCTCTGCCTCCTCGCTTTGCCTTAGGGTTTCTCTTTAGTTTCTCTCCACTGAATGCTCTTGTCTTTTCAAGGCTTGGGCTCAAAAGTCATCTTAGAATATAATGTGTTACCCAAACTGGAACAGTCTTGAGGGGGAAACGGAGCACGGTTAATAACTGCGCGGGGACAGTGGTTGTAAGTTGGGCGTCTCAGAGAATTGGGGCGTGTGGTCGTCCTCACTCTTTACCGGCCAGACATGTCTCCCTTCCCCTTCTCCAATCCTGTCTTATTTATAACACTGTATCATAGTGCTTGTGGTTACCTAGTGTCTGTGTCTCCTCAAAATAAGATGCTGGTCCCACTCTGTGCCCGCGTCTAGAGCTGTGTTGACATAGAGCGTACAGCTCAGTGGATGTTTGCTGCGTATATACATGACGTTTCTACCTTTAGCCTTACATTCTTGTGAAGATATGATAGACATACGTGAGAAATCAAGTGGTAGTGGTGTATACAAATTATACTTTTATAAAAGAAAATGTTCTCATTTAAAAGAACTTTTTTGTGTCATGTTGTAAGTAAAATTTTTCATTAGCTAAACTTTAAAAAAAATACTCATTTTTGACTGTGTCAGGTCTTGGTTGTGGCGTGCTCTCTCTGCAGTTGCAGCAGGTGGGCTCTCTATTTGAGGCATGTGGTCTTAGTTGCCCTGCAGCATGTAAGATCTTAGTTTCCTGTTTAGGGATCAAACCTGCTTCTCCTGCATTACAAGGAGGATTCTTTTTTTTTTTTTTTAGCAAGGAGGATTCTTAACCACTGGACCACCAAGAAAGTCCTTCATTAGTTAAACTTACAGTTTTCTAAGCTCTTGTATATTTAGGACGGCTTCTTGAGAAGCTGCCTCAAACATTCATCTTGGATGTGTCTATCGAATAACCAAATGAATTCCTACAAGCCGAGTTGCAGAGTTGCTGTGGTAGAGAATGTGCATATTTTCAGGGCTGATACTGCACAAATTGCTATTCTTCTTTAGAAAGCAATCTGTACCTAGTTTACCAACACATGTTGTGAAACAGTACATTTTCCTCCAAACCAACACTAGGCATTATTTTTTTAAAATATTTTGCCAATTTGTTTTACTTTTCTTGTCATTATTCATGTGGACTTCATTAATTTTATTTCTTTTGTTAATCCCATAATTCTATCATGTTTTCATGTTTTATATTTCTGTTGTGATCATTTTTTCCTGTATATATATCTCAGTGTATCTAAGCAGCCACTAATCTACTTTCTGTCACTATAGATTTCGCTGTTATGGACTTTCATATGAAAGGAATCACAGTCATTTATGATTGGTGTCTTATACTTAGCATTGTGTTTCAGTTTGTTCAAGCTATAGCATGTATCATGCTTTGTTTTTTCGTGGCAGAATAATAATCCCTTTTGTGAATATACACGATTTTATCTATCAGTTCCTCATTAGTTGATGGACGTGACATTTAGAGTATTCCAAGGTTTATGTAGTTATTTTAGGACTTAAGTTGAGATCTTGTGATACTAAGATGTAAAAACCTACTCTACTTGTATTAAACAAAGAGGACTCACTGTGAGACTATGTAGGCAGTTGAACAGGAATCCGGGGAGAAGGAAAGCAGCACAGTACCTCCTCCTGGGAGCTGATTCTGGAGCACAGTGTCAGAGGCAGTTCCTGGTGTGTCTCAGGAGCACCCCTGCTCTCTGCATCCTGTTCTGGCCCGTGTCTAGGCTGCTCCTCTCTAACTGACGCATCCTTTGGCTCATCTTCACTCCCACTCTGACCACTTTGCAATAACTGACCTTCTCAGTTCAGATACCTGGAGGGGAATCTGACTGGTACAACCCTGGCCCCATAGAGTAGTTCACTTGACATTAACATTGGGTTGAAGCCACACTTTGACAGGGCCAGGGTCTTTGGAAGGAGTGCAGGGACCTGGCATGACCCACCTCTGTAGCTCTGTTAGTCAATCTAAAGATGACCTAATTCACTAGGCCAGTGATCATCACACTTGTTGGTCTCAAGACTCCTTTTACAGCTGTAAAGATTACTTGCGACTCCAAAGAGCTTTTGCTTATGTGGATTATATATGTTGACATTTACCATATTAGCTATTAAAATGGGGAAATTCAAAAGATATTTATTTAAAAATAATATAAGCCCAAATGTTAATGTATTTTCCAAAATAAAACAAAGTTTGAGAAGAGTGACATTGTTTTACATTTTTGCAGACTTCTTCAGTATCTGAAAAGAAGATCACTTGATTCTCATTTCTTCTGTGTTTTAGTCCTGTGATACGTTGTTTTGACGGAAGCTTATGAAAAACAGCTAGCCTCATATAGATATGTATTTGGAAAAGGGAAGGGTATTTTAATAGCCTTTTAAGATAACTGTGGGTATTCTTTGATATCATACCCAAACCAGACAAGTGGTAAGGTTTTGAAGGTTAGTTACTGTGTAGAGTTTGAAACCGTATCAGTAAACCTTTCATATTATGTCACATTAAACATTTATTGGTTTGTCTTGCAGCTTACTGTGGTAAAGTGTTCTGACTTTAAATGTTTTATTTATGCATAATCTTGTAATTCTATATTGGTCATTTGGAAAATATTGATTCATTGAGTTACGCAGATCTTTGAATTTCATTGTGTAATATCAAAACCTCAACACTTGTTAATATCACCACCAATCTTGGTGGAAAAGTCTTTAAATGTGGGGAAGCTGTCAGGCTAATGGTGGCAGATACAGGTTTTTTGGAAATCCTAATTTTAAAAAAATTGGCAATAGTTTTCTTGAAGTGGTAGGCTCTCTTTTTTCTTCCTTGAAAGCTTTTCTATCCCTAGTGTCTTCTTAGGCTGTCATTTTGGGGCCGAATTATTGAATAAAGACAATATTTCCTCTGCACAAACACTTAACCTTATAACTATTCCTGAATCCTTTTAATAATTGACTTTTTACAGTTTTACAGCCATAGATTTTGTTTTTGTAATGTTTAATATTTGTATCTCAGATAATTATTGAAAGGAAGGTATTTACTGAGCTGCTGCTGTGTGCTGGCTCCTGAGCTAAGATTTTGTGTTCACTTTATGTAGCTACTGGTTTTATTTGTGATATGTTAAAGAACCTTCTTTTCAGTAAAGAGGAAAAGACCCAAGTCCTGTAACTTCTGTTAAGCTGAGTAAGTATTAATAAATGGGATAAAGCTTTTACTGATAATAGTGGTTTTGTTTATGTAGCTATGGTTGTAATTTATTAGAATCACCCTTGGTGCGTTAGTTCTTATCATTTCTGTTTTTTTCCCATCCTGTACAGGTGATTTCCTAGAAGCATGATTGTTTGTTGCACTTGATCTCACAACCTGGTGAGGACATCCTTACTGATAATGTCAAGTTCAGGTTATCCTCCCAACCAAGGAGCATTCAGCACAGAACAAAGTCGGTATCCTCCCCACTCTGTTCAGTACACCTTTCCCAGCACCCGTCACCAGCAGGTAAGGAATAGATATTATGCAAATTGCATATGTATTCTATGTTTCTATTTTTCCTATGTAATATATTTGTTGATCAGAAACCAAACACAATTATATGTATGTGTGTGTGTGTGTATATATATTTAGTGGCAGGAACCATTCTCAAAGGTTAAGGATTAATTATATTTATCTTCTTACTGTGGCTGTATGCCAGATTTAGGAGTTGGCCATGTCTCTGCTTCTGATGGTGGGAGTTGTTGATAGAGTGTCAATGACCTAGAGTTTCTAAGTTAAGACCTATGTTTATGCGCCAGGTTCTGGTTGAGCATTAAGCTGGATGGAAGACTTGGTGTCTTGAGTGAGAGCTAGGTCTCGAGTTTAGATTTTCTGTATGTGTGTTTATGTAGCTACTGGTATTATTTGTGACCTAGTAAAGAACCTACCTTTTTGAGAGATTTGATGGTAGGAAGACGAGTTTGTGTGATTGTTTTACCTTGTGAAAAAGAGATGAAATTACCAGCTTGGAGCAGGCCAGCGCCATGGGTGTAAGCTTTGAAAAAAGATGGGAAGAGATGAAATGGTCATTAGTTTCATGTTTTTTGTAGATGCCCTTTTTGGTTGAAGAAGTCACTGTCTACTCTTCACTAAGGTTCTTTTTTTTGTTTTCACTGAGGTTCTTAACCGTGATTAGGTGTTGACTTTTGGTTGTGTGTCTTTTCTGTCTCAGTGCTGTTCATTTGATCACTGATTTCCTAGCTTATTGTTGCTGCTGGTGTTTTTAAAACAACTTTGGGTTTAGTTTATATATAATAACATTTCATTGTATGTGTACATTTTGACAGCTTCATACACTTATAAGACTACCACCAAAATGAAGAGCGCATTTCTGCCACCCCCGGAAGTTCCCTTATTCCCTGTCCAACTCAGGCCCCCTCCCCCACCTCCTATAGACTTCAGCTCCCAGGATACCCATCTGCTTCCCATCACAACAGATTCCCTTTGTCTTGAATTTCACGTGAACACATTTGTCAGTGGTTTCTTTTCTGTCTCATATTTTTTAAATATATCTGTGTTTTGGCACATCTTGGTAATGTCTTTTTATTGCCGGATATGGATATACCACAATTTGTGTATGTATCCAGTCACTTAGTTTTCAGTGTACAGGTCATGAACCTTTTTTGTCACATTTATTCCTAAATATTTAGTATTTTTGATGGATTGTAACTGGTACTGCTTTTGAATTTGTTTTCAGTTCACTGCTGCTATGTATATTAATCTTGTATCCTGCAAAATTACTTGTTACTTCCTGCTTTTTTATGAATGCCCCAGGATTAACTGTGTAGATGATACTGTAACCTGAGAATAAAGACAGCTTTGCTTTTCTGTTTCCACACTAGTTGTCTGTTCTTCTTCTTACTTATTGCACTGGCTTGAACCCCCCTCCCCCTCCCCGCCCCAGTCCCAAGTTGAGTAGAAGGTGAGAGTGGATGTTCTTGCCTGGTTTCTGATCTTAAGAGGAGAGCATTCAGCCTGTTAGGAGTGTTAGCTTGGGAAATGTTTCCTCCCCCTGTATTTTCTTTTTTTAAAAAAGCTAAAAATAATTTTATCTGTTTATTTTTGGCTGTGCTGGGCCTTTGATGCTGCTAGTTGTGGCAAGTGGGAGCTATTTTCTAGTTGTGGTGAACAGGCTTCTCATTGCAGTAGGTTTTTTGGTTGTGGAAGCATGGGCTCTAGGGCGCGAGGTCTCAGTAGTTGTGGTTCCCAGACTCTAGAGCACAGGCTCAATAGTTGTGGTACATGGGCTTCAGTTGCTCTGGGGCATGTGGGATCTTCCCAGACCAGGGATCGAACCTGTGTCTCCTACATATTGGCAGATGGTTTCCTTGCCACTGAGCCACCAGGGAAACCCTATCCTCCAGTTGTGAACTTTTCTCTTCTGGGGTATCTACTAAATGTCTTGTGTATTCAGTGAGGTTTCTTGTCTCTGGCTGGAGGAAATTCAAATGAGCTCTGGCCCTGGGTAGGGCTTCCTTGGTGGCTTGTTGGTAAAGAATCTACCTGCAATGTAGGAGACCTTGGTTTGATCCCTGAGTTGGGAAGATCTCCTGGAGAAGGAAACGGCTACCCACTCCAGTATTCTGGCCTGGAGAATTCCATGGACAGAGGAGCCTGGCAGGCCACAGTCCGTGGGGTTGCAAAGAGTCGGACAGGACTGAGTGACTTTCACTTTCACTGGCCCTATGGGAGCTCTGGGAATTGCTTGTTTTATCATTCCAATAGTTCTTTCTTCGGAAGTTGTTCTTGGTCCAGCCTTTTAAAGATAGGACTGTGCTCTCCTTATGCATTACAGATTGGAATTCAGCCAAGCACTTAAGGGAACCCAAATTCATATTTCAGGAAATCATTCTCTAACTCCCTTGGTGATTTGGTTCCAGATTTGTTTTCCTCTGAACTTGGAGTATATATTTGTCTGTTTCGTTCTATTCAGTGTTGCTGATGAGAAGTCTTTTTTTTTTTTATTATGATCCTTTACTTCGTAGGAAACCAAGTTTTTCTGTCTTATGACTGATAGTTTTCTATCGTTGGTTTTCTAAAATTCTGATATGTCCTGTATGGTTTAATGTTTAAAATATGTTCAACTTTTCTCTTAGGCCCTTTGAAACCTGAGGAGAAGACTGAGTCCTCTCTAACTTCTGAGAAATGCTGCTTTTTTATTTCTTAGAATATTGCCTCTCACCTGTGGATGGATATTGAATGTTAGAGCCTTTACTGTAGCTGAGATTTCTAACTTTTCTCCTGTAATTCCTATATATTTGTGCTCTACTGTGTTCTGAGAGAATTCCTTAGTGCTGTCTTCTCTTGTATTTGCCCTTTACATGTGTCTGTTCAAAAAATAGGAAGATAAATATAAAAACACCCACCTAGAATGATGGAAACTGTTTCTCTTAACTAACATGCTGATCCTCTGGACCTCTGTTTCTTCACTTGTGACTGTACATGGATTTAACTAGATGGCGTCTGTGACCCTTCCAGCTTAAAGATAAAGACCATTACAGTATACTAACACATATATATGGACTTTAGAAAGATGGTAACGATAACCCTATATGCAAAACAGAAAAAGAGACTCAGATGTATAGAACAGACTTGTGGACTCTGGGAGAAGGTGAGGGTGGGATGTTTCAAGAGAACAGCATTGAAACATGTATATTATCTAGGGTGAAACAGATCACCAGCCCAGGTTGGGTGCATGAGACAAGTGCTCGGGCCTGGTGCACTGGGAAAACCCAGAGGGATCTGGTGGAGAGGGAGGTGGGAGGGGGGACCGGGATGGGGAATACATGTAAATCCATGGCTAATTCATTTCAATGTATGACAAAAACTACTGTAATGATGTAAAGTAATTAGCCTCCAACTAATAAAAATAAATGGAAAAAAAAAAATAAATAAATTTAAGATAGGAATGCTTTTTAGGATTTCATATTGCACACATGGGTTTGAGATCCTATTAAGTAAATAGTACAGATTAGGAGTTACTGTGATTTGTTATTAAATAAATAACAAATAATAAATCAAACACAGGTTGAACACGAAATTTCATTTTTAATTCTTTTGAATGATACACAATTAATGTTGGTTGTTTTAGGTTATGGGAGAGAATTAGATCAGTGAAGCATTGAAATCACCATTGCTGCTGCTTCACATGCTTATTGGACCATAGCTGCCTTTGTACATTTGCCCTTGGTTTGGTTGCATGATGCTTTTTCTTGTTGACTAATAATTAATGTGTGACTATTTTACTACCAGGAATTTGCGGTCCCTGATTACCGTTCTTCTCATCTTGAAGTCAGTCAGGCATCACAGCTCTTGCAGCAGCAGCAGCAGCAGCAGCTTCGCAGGAGGCCTTCCCTACTTTCAGAGTTTCACCCGGGTTCTGACAGGTAACAGGTTCTCTTTTGTGTTTCCACCCAGGACTGAACTTGGGGAGTATGTGGAAACCACACGTGTGTCATTTATCTTATTACTTTCAATTCAGTGTTATATTTAGTCTTAATAGTCTTACTAACCAAGCTGTGATCAGTCATTTACAGTTGTATTTTGAGCGCTTTTATATTTGTTGACCTTTTGGAGTAGTTGTCCATAATAGTTTATAAACTCTTAAAACCTTGTTTCTGGAGCTCAGAGTCAATGCTGTGCAGAGGGCAGTCCGATAGACCTAGATTTGAATCCTGGTCAGCTCTTGGGGCCTTGGTCACATTGTATAAGCTGGTGTTCTCAATTCACCCTACATATTAGGAGTACCTGGGGAGATTTAAGAGCTTGATACCCAATCTCATCTCAGAATAATTAAATTAGTCTCTGGGGTTAGGCCCACATCTTTCTTATTTACAGCCAGGGTTGCCAGTCAGTGCTTTAGACTCCTCAGACCTTCGTTTTCTACCTGTAAAAATGAGGATAACAAGGCATTGTCTGCAAAGGATAGTGGGTATTTTGTCAGCTAATGTTGGTCTCGTCCATATCAGATACTCATTCTCTCCAGTGTCCTTACTGTCTCTGCGGTCTTTTACTCAATTCCGCGCCTCCTTGCCCCGTCTTTTTTTTCCCATTCTCACTCTTAATCTAAAGTATTTTGAAATATAATAACTGCCTTTAGTAAATCACCTTTCTTGAGTCCTTGTTTTAGCAGTTTTATAAAGAACCTGATTTCCTATTTTAAAAAGTATGTTTATTGTTTAGATTTTAAAATGATAAAAAGTTTGAAATTATTCAACCATGTTTCAAATCATTGTAAAATACATTTCTTGGTGAAGATTATGGAGAGAAATCGCATCACTCTCCTCTGCTGTCTAGCAAATATATGAAGATAGTTTAAGAAAGGGCTAAAAATGCACCCTGCACATAAAGAAGGAAAGGATACAGCCACTGCCATAAACTTGGAAGAGTGGCATTCAAGGAAGGAATGAGAAGAATCTTTCTCAACTTGGCCTCCTAATTCCTGCTTCTACTGTCAAAGAAGCAGTGTTGAAGAAAGAAAGGTTAGTACAGTCCTAAGATTTCTCATGATTGCCCCTGGTTTGGGAAAATGCAAGTGGAAGTGGTGAACAGTTGACTTAGGAATCCTCATTATGCCGTCCCGCAGTAAGGACAGTTATAGGTGCCACTTTGCAAAGTGCTGAGCCAGAACCCTCAGAACTGGTTTACATGGGTGGCTGGTGGAGCCATGGCTAAGGACTACAGCTCCAGTTGAGTTTTCCCCTGACTCGTCCCATTTCTCTTGTTTCCTCAGGCTGTAGAGAATTACATAGAAAGCCATATCCAGTCCTCCATCTGTAGATAAACACATACTAGGCAAGGTGGGGATGGGCAAGGAAACCCGCCCACCACCCCTGCCCCGCCATTCTGCACCACAGAGCGAATCTGTGTAAGGCTGCTCATAGTCTGCCTGAGCAGGAGGGTAAAGGATGCCATGAACCAGGAAAGCATACTCCTGGAAAGGAAGACTCAAGCAATGCACTGTTCCAAAAACAAAGACCCCTGTGTGTAAAGAAGATGAAAAACAACATGCCCCATGAATGCTGTGCACTTAACTTAAAATTTATAATGAAGTGTTTAAAAACAAAATAAGACAGCCGTATCAGATAAAGCGAAAGACTGGACATTCCTTTGCCCCCAGGGCCACATTTTAAATTCTGTATATAAAGTGAGAAGGAACAAGGGATAAGATAGGTGTGGCTGAGAGTCAGACCTTTGTTCTGGAAGAAAGGTCTGGAGATGATCAGAGTCAAGGCAGAAGAAAGGGACAGAGAGATCAAAGCAATTAGAAAGAGGTGGATAAATACAGAGGGCAAATTGAAATCATCCAGCATGTCATAAGAGCGTGTTTCCTAGGTGGAGAACCTAGTAAGGGAAAGGAAATGATACTCATAATTTAAAAACAAACAAACAAACAAACACCTTTTTTCCCCTTTAACATGAGGGAAGAAATCTGTGGGTTGATAGGACATATCTTGCTCCAGGAGAAATTTACAAAGGATGATCAATACTGAGACAGATCCTGGTTGAGTTATTATTAAAGTTTAAGGGTAAGTAAAAGAATCAGGCATCTAGCATGCAGAACAAGTCCTCAATAAGAGAAAAGAATCTGATAGCAATAGCTACAAAGTTCTGAGGAGAGGAAATTGAGATCCAAAAATATTATATCAGACATGTTTAAAAGCAATAGGCAGACATTTTTAGATGTGCAAACACTGAGTATTTAAAGCTTCTTGAAGAATTTCTCAGAGATGCAATCCAGTTGAATAAGGAATGGAAGCCATGGTCAAAGGGTTACAGTAGCCATAAACGTATTCAAGTGCAGGTATGAGACATCTCAAGGAATCATGGAATCATGGTTCCTCAGCGGATGCTAGTACTAAATCTTGACGAAGTAAAATAATGTAAGTGTCCCAAATCAGAGATACAATAAGTATTGGGAGAATGTTTAAAGCTATGCATTTGAAAAATGTGCTTGGAGTGATTTGATGACTTCTGAAAAGGAATATAGGTTAAAAAAAAAATTCTTCTTCTCAGTGCTTTTCATAATTATTTTCCTTACCCTTTTCACTTTCACCCTTTTGAAAGAATTTTTAAGGAACTGATTTCTTGGAGTAAAGGAGTGTTTAACTGGAATGTAGTAATTCCTTCCATTTTTAAGCCTTATTTCATTTTTTTCTCATATATGTATCTGTATAAAAATAAGCCAAATATTCTTTTTTTTTAATATTCTGTATTTAAAAAATACTCTATGTGATTCTTCTGTTTTATTTTTGCCTGTATGTCCATACATCCGTATGTAGAAATAAATGATGTCTGGTAATGAAACTCACCCCTGATTATAGCTGTTACTATGTGGTGGGGTTTGGGGTGATTTGCTTACTTAGTTCTGTTAATATATTCCTGGAATTTTTTTGTTAGCCAATGTTTATTATTTTATAAACACAGCACTCACAAAAAGAGTTATTTCTGTGTGAATATCATTCATCATGTTTTCTAGATGTCATTGGAAAAATTAGCCCAGAAGGAAATGGCAATCCACTCCAGTATTCTTACCTAGAGAATCCCGTGGACAGGGAAGCCTGGTGGGCTACAGTCTATGGGGTCGCAAAGAGTCGGACACGACTGAGCGACTAACACACAACATCTAGAGTATTTGGATGTTTAATTAAGTGGTACAGAACAACTGAGGTAGTTTCAGATACTATAAAAGATTCTCTGAAATTCAGATAATTGGTTTTCCCTTGAGCAACAAAAGAGGTCAACTCATATTTATACATTTTTAAATTTAAGTGAAATTAATTTTGTTTTGGACAAGAGTCTCCCTCAGCTGGGAATAAACACAATAAATTATAATTCTGATTGATCTTCATGGGCCAGTATTTTAAATAACAATGAACTTTATATTACCCCTAAATGAAGGTTTATTACAATAAAAAATCCATTTGATAAATTTGCTTTAAAACTATTTAAAGATGGTACTAAGAGATGATGAAAGTCAGTAAAATGTAGGAAATTTTAAATTTAGAGTCTGCACAGGTATTTTAGTGTGAAATCTGGTGGGATTTTTATTTTTTTGGTTGTTTTGGAAGTACTACATTTTATTTTTCTATTCATCAGTTGATAGCTATTAGAGTTGTTTGCACTTTGTGACTTTTGTGAATAATATTACTGTGAACATCCAAGCACAGATTTTTCTGTGGCTGTGTATATACCCCTTTATACTCCACCTGCATGCTTTGTGACCCCATGGACTGTAGCCCGCCAGCCTCCTCTGTCCATGGGATTCTCCAGGCAAGAATCCTGGGTGGATAGGGGATCTTCCCCATCCAGGGATCAAACCCCTGTCTCCGTCATCTCCTGCAGTGGCAGGCAGGTTCTTTACCACCAGCGCCACCTGGGAAGCCCCACATGCCCCTTTTCTTGGTCACATACTGGGAGTGGGGCTGCTGGATTAAGTGCTGGTCCCTTTTGTTTGCTATTTGGGAAACTACCAGAATGTGTACAAAGTGGCCACGCCATCATACAGTATTAGAAAGGGAAATACTTTGTTAAAGATGCACATTTCATGCTTAACTCCCAATATAAAATTGTATTTGTTTTCACCAAGATTTTCATAGTTCATTTAAATTTTTTCTGAAATTTTAAATGGTAAATTATGTATTTATTTATGCATGAGTAGTTTTGTTGTAAAAAGAATTGGCAAGCTGAAATGGGGAATAGTTTGATTTCTTGATGGAGTGAGAGTTTTCAGTACTCTGTTTTTCTTAATTGTCCTGTGCCCTGGCTTCCTGGAGTTCTCCTCCAGCTGTGGGTACACCTCACCCTCTGGCTTTGGTCAGTCTCTCAGGCAGAGTGTCTGGAGGTAAAATGTGATCCTTGGAAGTTAGTTAGGTTTTGTGGATTGTGTCCTTAACAGGGGTGCCCAGTTGCGGGGACATAGCTAGGGGCCCCAGAGGGTTGCATTTCCTTATAGAAGTTCCACACAAAGTCTCCAAGCAGGCCAGCAGCAGCCCTGGTTCTCAGTGCTGCGTCCAGGGGCATGGCCTTTATCTGATTGCCCCTGGCTGCTCTGTGGAGGGTGGATTTGGGGTGGGTAGACTGAAGCAGAAAGAATGTGTCAGAGAGAGAGCTGGGGAGAAAGAATGTGGGCATCAGGCAGGATACTGCAGCCTTATCAAATGCATGATTTTCATATATCTCCTCCCATTCTGTGGGTTGTCTTTTCATTTTCATGGTAGTGTTCTTTGATGTACTAAAATTTTTTATTTTGATGAAGTCCAGTCATCTACATTTTTCTTTTGTTGCCTTGCCTTTGGTGTGATATCCAGGAATTCACTACCAAGTCCAAGGTCAGGAGATTTTTCCCTATATTTTGTTTCTAAGAGTTTTTAAGTTCTGGATTTTTAATCCATATGTGTCCACCTTCATTGTTGTATGTGTGGGAATTCCGTTCTTCAGGACCGTTTGTTGCAGAGATTGTCCTTGCCCTGTGGGAGGGTCTTGACAGCCTTAGTGAGGCTGACTGAGATGTGAGGGTTTATTTCTATGCTCTTAGTTGTATTCTGTTGGTCTGTAGGTCTGCCCTTCTGGCTGAACCATGCTCTTGATTATTGTATATTTGTAGTGAGTTTTGAAATTGCAAAGTGTGAGTTCTCCAACTTTATATATTTTTTCTACAATTGTTTTGGCTGTTTGCAGTCCCTTGAGATTCCACATGAATTTTTTTTTCCTGTACCACCTGTCTTGTGGGATCATAGTTCCCTGACCAGGAGTGCAGCCCAGGCCCATGACAGTGAAAACAGAGTCAACGACTGGACCACTAGGGAATTCCCATCTCCATGAATTTTATGATGGGTTTTTTTTTTTAATGTCTCAAAAAAACTCTGTTAGGATTTTGCTGGAAATTATGTTGAATGTGTACTTAGCTTTGTGTAGTATTGTTATCTTAACAATATTGTCTTTCAGTGCAGGAAAATGGGATGTCTTACTATTTAAATTTTCCTTAATTTCTTTCAGCAATGTTTTATGATTTTTCAGTGTGTAAGTCTTGGGCCTCCATGGTCTAATTCATTCCTGCTTTATTCTTTTGGATGCTATTATAAATGAAATTTTTTTTTGGAATTGTTTTCTTAATTTCATTTCCAGATTATTCATTGTCAATGTATAGAAATACAGCTGATTTTTACATGTCGATTTTTTTTATCTCATAATTTCACCCTATTCATTTATTAGCTGTAACATTTTTTGTGGTTTCTTGAGAGTTTTCCACATATGAGATCATGTCATTTGTGAATAGAAATACTTTACTTTTTCCTCTTCAATTTGGATGCTTCTTTTTCTTGCCTAATATTCTGATAAGAACTCCCAATATGATATTGAATACAAGTGACTAAAACTGTCATTCTTGTCTTATTCCTGAAACTTTGTAATGCAGTATTTTTTGTAATATCATTGTGAATTTTAAGGAGACAATGGGATCTTATGTCTTGAATGAGATTTCAAATTTTTGAAGTATTATAAAATTATCAACCTCAGAGTATGTTTTATCACCTATACTAAAAACAAAACCCCATGATTAACTTCAAAATGAAAGGTTGTTTTGTGAGATGTTCATTTAAACCTTGGCCACAAGTAAAATGTCACGTCTGGAAATACTTTGTAAATACTCTGTGCAGTATATCATGTAAGGAAATTGAAACCAGATTCCAGACCTTCAAGATACTTAGGTACTTGGGGAAATTAGACAGAATGCATGTTTTGGGGGTCAGAATTATGTGTTCAAAGCAATATTGCATTCCCACTCAAGAGACTTGTTTTTAAGTCTTGATAATACCTCACAACTCAAGGCATTTATCTTTCCATGTGGCAGTTTTTTTTTTTTCTGCTTGCTTTTACTATTGGTTGAAAAGGGTGGCTCTTCTCGTCTAGATTATATTAATTCAGTTGTTATGGCATGGGTTTAAAAATATTTATTTTATGGATATTCTTTAGCATCTTTTAAATTTTCTGCAAATTGCATCTTCTGTTGCATCTTTCGCTACTTTACTACCTCTACTCCTACCTCCCCTTTTCTAGTAGAAAAGAGGAAACTTTTCTATTAGAATCAGAACTTTAATAGGACTTAATAGTGAGGTATGTGTTCTCCTGGGGTGGTTTCACTCTGAAAGTAAGTGTAATTGCTCATTCATTCTAAGTCCAACCAGGGATATTAGCAGGATATTGTACATTACTTAAACATTTTCAAGTGATTCTTTTCTCTGTGTGTGTCAGGCCTCAAGAAAGAAGAACTGGATATGAGCAGTTTCACCCAGGCCCTTCCCCAGGGGATCATGATTCACTGGATTCCAAGAGACCACGTCTGGAGCAGCTTTCTGATTCCCATTTCCAGCGGGTCAGCGCTGCGGTCTTACCTTTAGTGCACACGCTGCCAGAAGGGTTGAGGTCTTCTGCAGATGCTAAGAAGGTAAATATTTGTTTTCTTACCCTGTGGAGTTGTCGGTCTGAAATGTGTATTTAGCCACATTCAGGCACAGTGCCTAAAAGACCAGTTATTCCATTCACCAAAGGTTAGTGCTGTGGGAAAGTAAAAATTTTGTTTAAACAAAACTAAAAAGCCACAGACTTAATACTCTGGACTTTAAAGTCAGTACTTTTGACTTTTTGGTAAATGAGAAACAATCTGAGGACTGCTGTAAAGAAAAATTGCTATTGAATGACTCTCAGGCATTTTGTACTGGCTTGCTGGGCTGTAAAATGTAGTCAGAGCTACTCAAGATTACCACAGTTCTGTTAAATTTAAATTGAATTTTAAATAATTCCCTTAAATTCAATTGCAGTTTATTAACTTATTACATGGGAGAAGACATATTTTAGGTAAGGTTTAACTATGCTTATAACTTTTGTGAAGAAAAATTTTTATTCTGTTAGTAATAACTACTTTTAATATGAGCTATAATCTCATGATGGGCTTCCAAACAATAGCTCAGTGGTAAAGAATCCTTCTAATACAGGAGACGCCAGTTCAACCTCTGGGTTGGGAAAAGATCCCCTGCTAAAGGAAATGGCAACCCACTCCAGGATTCTTGCCTGGGAAATGCTATGGGCAGAGGAGCCTCGTAGGCTATAGTTCATGAGGTTGCAAAAGAGTTGGACACGACTGAGTGGCTAAACAACAGCAATCAGTTCAGTTCAGTTCAGTCGCTCAGTCGTGTCCAACTCTTTGTGACCCCATGAACCGCAGCATGCCAGGCCTCCCTGTCCATCACCAACTCCGAGTCCACCCAAACCCATGTCCATTGAGTCGGTGATGCCATCCAACCATCTCATCCTCTGTTGTCCCCTTCTCCTCCTGCCCTCAATCTTTCCTGGCATCAGGGTCTTTTCAAGTGAGTCAGCTCTTCGCATCAGGTGGCCAAAGTACTGGAGTTTCAGCTTCAACATCAGTCCTTCCTATGATCTCGTGATATTTCAAACAATATGTGTTTTGGGTTTATGAGAAGGTTCTATTAAGATCATACCTCTTTTCCTTTTTTGTTTATTGTTACTTGCCTTTCTTTGGTGACGTGCATGTTTCTGTATTATACTTTTATTTTGTTCCTCAGTTTATCATATTTAACTGTTTTGCTTGTCATTAGATCTTCAGATCAGGAATTACCTGGCACTTAGTAGGTATAGAATAAATATTTGTTTTAGAAAGAATAAACTAATTCTGTAAAATACTTTTTTAACAGAAAGTATTAACCCTTTTACTATCATATATTAATATCTCTTTATCTTTGCTTTTTTGTTCTTAAATCTTTTTCCAAAAAAGTTTGTTTATCTTTAGGGCTAGTGGCACTTTCCACCCTGATATCAGATAACTAAATACCCACACATTTTCTTTGAGTTTTTATGGAGTGAACAGTGATTTAAATAAAAGACAGTAAATATGTTTGCACTTTCTTCTCAAATAGATCAACTGGAAAAAAAAAAAAGGTAGGTGTATGTATATGTATACAGAGAGATAAAGCAAATATAGCAAAATGTTACAATTGGTGAAGCTAGATGAAGGGTAATTGAATCCATTACACTAGTCTCTGAACTCTTATGTAAATTTGAAATTTTAAAAATAGTAAGTTGGGTGGGTAAAACTCTTTGTGATGAGCTAGAAATGAACTAAGCTCCTAGGAATATTGAGACCCACTTCACCATGTGAAATATCTGTATTATAGTCTGTGAGTTTATAAGGAATGTTTGCAGCCTTTAATAAAGAAGGAAAGAGAGGTGAATAAAGGTCTTCTTGCAAGGCTGAATAAATGAACACAAATGTAATTTATAGCTATAAATTTTTTTTGGCAGAAAGAGAGCTTAAAACTTCATCCATTTATATTAGAGTATAGCTGATTTCCATTTTATAGTAGAGAAGATGGATGTTAAGAAAAACTAAGTGACCTAGGCATTGTTTCCTGAGTTGAAATGAAAACCCATGCATGACCTCTGATTCCTAGTCCTGCTTCTTTCCCCACTAAGCTGTAAGTCATGACTTTCCTTTTTTTTTTTTAGAAGTTGGGACTTTGAAAGGGTTAGCATTTGTTAGTTTTTTTCTTCGCTTAGAGAAGAGTGAAATTGGATAAGCTTGAAGGAAAAGTTTGTCTCACCAGTTTGTCATTAATAATTGTGCATATTTTATTGTGCTTACTTTGTGCATTGTGTATGACTTTATTTTTGCTTAAATACGTTCTGAGGTTCATTTTATGTCATTAAGTTTACAGTTGTATTTTCGGTCATATTCCATGTATGGATATAAAATAACTTACTTGTCACACATGTAGGTTACCTGCTTGTTCATTAGAATAATGACATATTTTTCTTAGCTTGATTTTTTATTTGTTTGTTTCTTTTTTGTGTGCGGCTTGTGGGATCTTAGTTCCCCAACCGGGAAATCAAATCTGTACCCTCAGCAGAAAGTGTGGAGGCCTAACCACTGGACCACCAGGGAATTCCCTAGGTTCATTTTTTTGGTTTACATTCTTATTTACTTCCTTAAGGTAAATTCCTGTTAGTGTATTTTAAGGTTTTCCTGGGTATATCCAGTTTGCCCTGAAAAGGTGGAAAACTAGTTTTTACTGCTGATAGCATGATATAAGGGCGCCCAGTTGCTGTGTGTCCATACTGAAACCACATATTTACCGTCTTTAAAAAGATCATTGTTAGTTTGATAAATTTTTAACTTGCATTTATTTGCTTGTTATTAAAATTTAACATTTTTTCATTTGTTTTTCCTTTTTTCCTGTTTTATGAATTGCTTTTCATATTTGTTGCCTAGTTTTCTGTTGATGTGTTTTTTATTTTATGTTAGAGTTCACGTTTTGCAAATGATTTTTCCTGTTTGCTTTGTAAATTTATTCCTATTTTGATAAAGAGAAAATTGTTCTTTATTTTGATTCATCAATCTTTTTTTAATGTCTTTTGCTGTTGACTTTCCTGTACTCAGTATAATATGAATACCTTTTGTTTGAGGCTACTTGTGATTTGCTAATAAGTCTCATATAAATATTATTATTTGGCTTTTGTTGTGATATGTGGAATAGAAATTTAACTTCCCCTCCCCCAAATAGCTAACAGAATGTCCCCCCACAAAATTATAAGCTCCTTGATGGCAAGCCTGTTTTGTTTACCTTTCTGCCTAGTGCCTGTCAGATGATAGGCACTGTAAACAGGAATTTGTTTTTTGTTAAATATTTAACTAGAGATGAAGTCAGTGGGAAATATTGATCTGTAATAGTAGTTGTTAGGGCACAGGTCAGACAGATCACCTGAGGAGCATTTTCAAAATCTGCTGAATCAAAATGTAATCTGTTGTGGTATTCTATGTGTTCTGTAACACAAATGATCTCATATGCATATGTAAGAGAATGATGTTAATGTAACGTGGAAATCCATGATGAATGATCGTTCCTTGCACATGAATGTTTTAGAGCTCTCAAGATCAAGCTTTCATAATTAAGAATTAGCCTGCTAGATAGATGAAGACCTTAAAAAGATTTGAAAAGTCTGCATTTATCAGTAGTTTTCATTTAGTGCAGGTAGTAGCTAGCTTAGTTAATTCAATAACTGCTCTGCTTTTCAGTGTTAAACTAACTAATGAAGATTGGAATGTTGAAAAGAAACTGGGAGACCTTTTTTCCTGTCCTTTTATGTTTTTAAAGGTTAATCTGCCTGCCAATGCAGGAGACATGAGTTCGATCCCTGGGTCAGGAATATCTCCTGGAGAAGGAAATGGCAACCTACTCCTGTATTCTTGCCTGGAGAATCCCATGGACAGAGGAGCCTGGTGGGCTACAGTCCATGGGGTTGCAAAGTGTCAGATACGACTTAGTGACTAAACAACAGCAAAGTCTTTATACCACGAATCAGATTTTTATTAACATTATGATGAAGTGTGCTATTTTGAACTGGAAGCAAATGACCTGAAGGATTAACAGAGGACGCATAAACTGCAGGGTTTACAGATATCAAAGGATTGCCTATAGTCTGAATGCAAATGGTATTGGAGCTTTGACAGTATTATTTTGTTAGGATTGCTGTTGTTTTGTTAATACTCTGCTTACAATGTTTACAGGTTTTAAGTAATAGCTATAATCCTGTTTTCCCCAGAAGCCTTAATTTAGCTATATTAGGTTACAGAATATCAGATTTTTCAGGAATATACATGTTATGTTTTAGTTAATCTCTGTTCCATGGTGTTTTGGAACAGCTATCTGGGTATATTTAACTGCATTCTTGGTTAGAACTATTGATTTCTCACAGTTACTTAGTCATTGTTTAGTACATTGAGGGCCCTCTGGTCTTATGAACTGTGATCATTCTAGACTTCTTACAGCCTAAAGAGAATCAGTGCCTTAATCTGAAATTCATATGCTTTGCAGTATTGCTCATATCTTCACCTTGTACTGGAGATGAGTAGGCTGTGCGAGTGTGCATGCGTGTATTGGCAGGGTGGCAGGTTTTGGGTGGAGGCCTTCAGTCTACTGTAGTCTCTGCTCAGTATGGAGCTGGAATGAGGAGGTACATTTGACTGAAGAGATGTTACGTGCGCTGTGGGGCAGACAGGCTTAGTAGCTCTTTATTGAGGGTGATCAAAGCAACAAAAGTTCTAGATCATTTCCCAGACTTCTATACATCAGTATTAACCCTTGGAAAGCCTGAAAACTTTTGATAGGAATGGCCATTTGTAGCTATTTAGTTGGGTGGGCACACAGAGTGCGTGTGTTCAGACGTTACAACAAAATGGCTGAGGAATTGGCATCTTCCTTTGTTGTGATTGCATCATTATTTCTGCAGCAATTCATTGTATGTCTTAGTATTGTAGTAAAGGCTGGTTGGCCACTTAACCCTCTTCAGTGATATGTCTGAACTGTGAATGTCAGTGGTGTATTAGTGTGGGTGTGTGTGTGAGAGGGAGGGTGAGTGGGAAGAAGGGAGAAAATTGCTACTATAGGCCTACTGTGTAGAAAGGGAGCACACATGGCTCTGCTAAGTTTTAAAATTCACTTTTTTTCGGTTAAGAGAATCTTTTTTTTTTTTTTAATGAACCCATTGTGCCTTTTTAAAAAAATATTCCTATTTGTTTTGTGTATTTGTTTGCCTGCACTGGGTCTTAGTTGCAGCACATGAGATCTTTTAGTTGCGGCATGTGGGGTCTAGTTCCCTGACCAGATATTGAACCCGGGCCCCCTGCATTGAGAGCCAGAGTCGTAGCCACTGGACCACCAGGGAAGTCCCCGTTAAGAGATTCTTGATGCTGACATTGATCTTTAGTGAGAAACCATTTGTTCTTGATTTTCTTTTTTTTTTTTTTTTTTTAGGGTTAACTAAAGATACATTTTAATAAGAAAATGCTTTGAAATAACATGAAGTCAACAGACATTTGACTGTACAGTTTATTCTGTCAAAATATAAATGTATGTCAGCTTACGTGTGTGAACTACACAGTCAGTTTCAACACAGCCACGTGCCTAGGATTGTGTGAAACAACTCATAAGCCATTCTCTAAGGGGTGTTGTGAAAACTTCCAAAAGTACCCCTGATATTTGGTCAGAGCTAAGGGATAAACTTTAAGGCAATCTTCCAAGTGAATGTAAACTTTTCTAAAGTGGCCTTTCCAGTAAAGGATTACTGTCGTGAATACTCTGTACTTTATAATCCTGTTGGATATTTTTAGTAGCACGTCATCACACTAATTGTCACTTTTTAAAAATCAGCTTTAAAATCCTGCAATTGTAAATTTTAAAAAAATGTCTGGAGTGCTTTTATTCTGTAGACTTCGGGCAGGCACTTTCTGTTGATTTTACTGTAAATCCTATTTTCTTCTAATAATTTTTATCTTTAGCTAGAATTGTACTGCTACGATTGTGTTCTAATTACTGTTCATATATTGAGAAATAATAATTTGCTACAATTTGTCTAATTTAAATCTAAGTTGAAAATTTCTTTTTAGAGGTCATTTTCTACAGAAGCATTCAAAATAAATAGTGCTACTCTTAGAGCGTGTTTCAGCATGATGACATTTTTCTGTCTGTCTTTTTCCAAAGTAATTTGTAGAGCATGTGAGCTAAACTGTTGATTTTCTTCTTTAAAGGACCCGGCATTTGGAGTCAAACATGAAGCTCCTTCCTCTCCAATCTCTGGGCAACCATGTGGGGATGATCAAAATGCTTCACCTTCAAAACTTTCAAAGGAAGAGTTAATACAGAGTATGGATCGTGTAGATCGAGAAATTGCGAAAGTAGAGCAGCAGATCCTTAAACTGAAAAAAAAACAAGTAAGTGTTTGATTTTACTGCTTAGTACATTCTCGGAATGTTTGTCTCCCTAAAGAAGAGTGTTGAACTTTCCATATTTTTAACTTTAGTTGATGTGCCATTTTAAATTCCACTAGCAGTGTCTGAGGGAACGTTTCCCTCTCTCTTCTTCACTGTTTTAAATAGCTATTCTAGTGCATGTGAAGTGGTATCCCATTGTGGTTTTAATTTTAATTTCCTTAGTGACCAGTGATGAACATCTCTTTATGTGTATGTTGGTCATTTATATATTTTTTTAGAGAACTGTTTATTCAGATCCTTTGCCCATTTTTTTTTTAAGCTGGTTGTCTTGTTATTGTTGAGTAAGAGTTCTTTATATATTCTGGATATTCATATATATGATGTGCAAATATTTTATCTCATTCTGTGAGTTGTTTTTTCACTATCCTGATAGTGTTTGTTGATGTACAGAGCTTTTTTTTCCTGTGATTCATTCAGATTCTTACTGAGCATCTAAGGAGATATAAAAGTGATTAAAACATGGTCAAAGAGGTAAATCAAATGAAAGCAAAGTATTAAGATTCACTGAATCATAGCCATCAAACACAAGTGCTTTATGAAGCAGGAGTGAGATTGCTTCCAGCCTGGGGGGTTGGTGGTGGGATAAATCAGGAGAAGGAGTTGAGATTAAAGTAGAAAACTTGGTCTGAATTGCTAGTGATACTCAGCTGGGACTCTATCTCCTTTTCCTGTCTCTCTGTCTTAATTTATGAGGACTGTTCATTGTGCTTTTTCCTAGACTTGCCTGCAGTTTTACTTTAACGTCTTCTCCAGAACTAGGTCCTTTTGGTGTTTTAGGAGGTTTGTGAGTTAGTGTGTTTCGAGGGCTTCCCAGATGGCTCAAGCGGTAAAGAATCCACCTGCAATGCAGGAGACAGGGCTTTGATCCCTGGGTCAAGAAGGTCCCCTGGAGAAGGAAATGGCAACCCACTCACAGTACTGTTGCCTGGAAAATCCCATGGACAGAGGAGTCTGACAGGCTACTGTATATTTTGAAGGATTCTTGACTTTTGCTCCTGATGTTTGATGGTTTTGAATGTATTCCATTCTGGTTTGATTTGGCGCCTTTTTGGCTGGAGTGTCTTGTATAGATTTCTTTACTGGAGCTTTTTCTTCAGCTCCCTTTTCATTAGCAAGTTTGCTTGTTTTCTGTGGAACCTTGCTACCACTTGCAGATATACTCCAGAGTTTCACATCCTCCTCTTCATCTTCTTATTCTGCATCTTCTAAGAGCGGTCCACTAATAAGTACAGGCCCTGAACCACTTTTGGACCACAGGTGGCATTCAGTCCCCCAGGGACGAATTAATGTGGCCAGGGCTGCTTCGTTGGGACCACCTTTGCTCTAGCAGTATGCGCTTCATCCTTTGCACTAGCCCTGAAACTGACCTCTGGAGAGAGGAAAGAGAGACAGAGTCCAAGCTGAGTATAACTGACCTATCTCAAGATAACTGCTCATCTTCATCATCATCCACTTTAAAGTCATCTTTGTTGACAACTGAAAGGTGGTTCCAGGGCCCCAGGGGCACACATGTAGGTGGGAGAGAGGGTGTGCAGAGGTTAGTGACTGCATTTGCAGAGGGCGGTGAGCAGGATGGAGTCACACAAGGGCAGAAAGCTTTCAATTTTAACTATGATGAAGTCCAGTTTATTTTTTCTTTCATTACTTGTGCTTTTGGTGTCATATCTAAGAACCATAATCCTCGTTGTGTAATCCAAGGTCACAAGGATTTATACCTATGTTTTCTTCTCTGGGTTTTATAGTTTTTGCTCTTATATTTAGGTCAGCATTTTTGGTGAACAGAATTTCTGTAGTTTTTGTATGTGACTACCCTGGGATCATTAAAAGAGTTTATCATCTTTTAAGAAGTTTTATAGTTTCTCATCACATTATTCTTAATCCACCAGAAGTTGAATTTTTGTGTCTGCCTCAAAACAGAAGTCAATATTTTTTCCCCCATATTAATAAATAATTAAGAAATTCATCCTTTTCCAGCCACACGTTCAGCTCTGTTATAAATCAGCTTTGGACTGATTGCTGGCCTTTGTGTTCTCTGTGGTATTGATGTAGAAATACAGTAGATATCTGGATTTTTGATTTGTCTCTTTTTCCTAGTAGTTCTCAGTTTAAAAGAAAATTGGGGTAAAATTGACACGCAACACTATATAGCATCATGATTTTATATTTATATATATTGCAAAATGATCTCCACAGTAAAGCTAGTTAACCATCTCTCACTGCATATGGTTACAGATTTTTTTTTCTTTTGATGAGAATTTTTAGCATCTACTCTCTCAGCAATTTTCAACTATACAATAAATGGTTGTTAAGTATAGTCACCAAACTATGGTCAACTATAGTTTACATCTGCATCCCTTACTTATTTTATAATTGGAAGTTTATACCTTTTGACTCCTTTCACCCCTTTGGTCCGTCTCCACCTAACCCTGCAACCACTAGTCTATTTGAATCTATGAGCTTGTCTAGTGTCTGTCTGGTTTTGTCCCAGGGCTACTTAACTGTGGAGAACAAAATGTGATTTCCTGAAACCTGTTTCTTTCTTTCTCTACACCTACTTAATGGACATTCTAAAAGAAGGCCTTCTGAGCAAAGGAATAAAAGGGCATGGTTGGAGACCTCATTAACATGAGAATGATCTCAGAACCCCGAATACTATCATTTGCTTACACAGATAGCAGGTTGCATGAGTCCTTTCTGTTCCGAAGTGGAAGTGGACCTCAGAGCTTCCCTCTTGAAGGATTTTCATCCTTTCTTTGGTTGTGATCTGACTTACATGATGAGGAACCTGACTCTCAGTCTTAACTTGAAAATGTAGGTAATCTTTTTCCACTGGGCCTTTAGTAGACTTACCACCTTTACTTTAATGCCTTTTATATTATATCCATGTTGCTGTTTGTTGAGCATTTACTAGGTATCACATGGAGCTGTTTGTTGAGCATTTACTAGGTATCAGTTGGGGTGATGGAAGACAAAAAACAGTGAACCAAGCTCAGTCCCTACTTACTTCAGTAGGTAATACTCACTGACCATTTATAGTTGTGCTTGACATATACTGAGTCCTTTAATCCTCTCAGAAAGCTGTGTGATAGGTAGGATCAATATCCCCACTTCACATATGAGGGGTTTGTACACTTGCTCCAGATTGAGGTAAGAACTAGAAAGCGTCTTTGGATCAAATCACTTGTAAAGGGGGACCCTAGGTCTGAACCTGGGCAGAGTAGTTCAGATAGCCTCCTGCGTTGTGGCTGCACACACTAGCAGTTAATGTGCTTTTGACTTTGCCGCCTCCTCACTGTAGGATATAAAGTCTCATGGGGGAGTGGGGTAGAGGGTGGTGCTGTGCTGAGTTAAGGGTTAATTAACCCTTCAGTGTTCTACCGTGCTCTCTCTGCCAGACATTAGCAGGTACTGTGTGTCTATAATACAGAACAGCATTATTCCAGGGACCCAGAGGGTCCTTGTGATAGAGGCAGATGCAATACCTTCATACATTTAGATTCTCTTACTTAAGTTGTGGTTCAGGTGCCAAGTTTTGTCTGACTCTTTGCAACTCCATCGACTGCAGCACTCCAGGCTTCTTTGTCCTTTACTAGCTCCAAGAGTTTGCCCAAATTCATGTCCATTGAGTCAGTGATGCTATCTAACCCTCTCATCCCCTGCCTGCTCTCCTCCTGCCTTGTTTTTCCCTTTCCCAGCATAGAGTCTTTTCCAGTGAGTCAGCTCTTCTCATCAGGTGGCCAAAGTATTGGTGCTTCACCTTTAGCAACAGGCCTTCCAATGAATATTCAGGGTCGATTTCCTTTGGATTTGACTGGTTTGATCTCCTTCCCGTCCAAGGGACTCATGAGTCTTCTCCAGCATCACAGTTCAAAAGCATCAGTTTGACACTCAGACTTCATTATGGTCCAGCTCTCACATCCGTAATGACTACATAGCTTTGACTATACAGACCTTTGTCAGCAAAGTGATGTCTTTGCTTTTTAAATATGCTATCTAGGTTCTGTCATAGCTCTCCTTCCAGGGAGCAAGTGTCTTTTAATTTCATGGTGGCAGTCACTGTCCACAGTAATTTTGGAGCCCAGGAAAATAAAATCTATCACTGCTTCTACTGTTTCCCCATCTGTTTGCCAAGAATTGATGGGACCAGATGCCATGATGTTAGTTTTTTGAATGTTGAGTTTTAAGCCAACTTTTTTACTCTCCTCTTTTACTTTCATCAAGAGGCTCTTTAGTTCCTCTTAACTTTCTGCCGTTAGAATGGTATTATTTGCATATGTGAGGTTATTGCTGTTTCTCCCAGCAGTCTTGATTCCAGCTTGTGATTCATCCAGCCCAACATTTCACATGATATACTTTGTATATAAGCTAAATAAACAAGGTGACAGTATATAACCTTGTCGTACTCCTTTCCTATTATTGAATCAGTCATTTGTTCCATGTAAGGTTCTAACTGTTGCTTCTTGACCCACATATAGATTTCCCAGGAGGCAGGTAAGGTGGTCTGGTATTCCCATCTCTTAAAGAATTTACCACAGTTTGTTGTGATCCATACAGTCAAAGGCTTTAGTGTAGTGAATGAAACAAAAGTAGATGTTTTTCTGGAATTCCTTAGCTTTCTCTGTGATCCAGGGAATGTTGGCAATTTGATCTCTGGTTCCTCTGCCTTTCCTAAACCAAGCTTGTACATCTGGAAGTTCTCGTTTCACATCCTGTTGAAGCCTAGCTTGAAGGATTTTGAGCATAACCTTACTAGCATGTGAAATGAGCACAGTTGTCCAGTAGTTTGAACATTCTTTGACATTGTGCTTCTTTGGGGTTGGAATGAAAACTGACCTTTTCCAGTCCTGTGGCCACTGCTGAGTTTTCCGAATTTGCTGGCATATTGAGTGCAGCACTTTAACAGCATCATGTTTCAGGATTTTAAATAGCTCAGCTGGAATTCCATCACCTCCACTAGCTTTGTTTGTTGTAGTGCTTCCTAAGGCTCACTTGACTTCACGCTCCAGGTTGTCTGGCTCTAGGTGAGTAACCACACTGTCGTGGTTATCCTGATCATTAAGACCTTTTTTGCGTAGTTCTGTGTACTCTTCCTGCTTCTTTTGAATCTCTTCTGCCTCTGTTAGTCCTTACTGTTTCTGTCCTTTATCATGCCCATCCTGGCATGAAATGTTCCCTTGATATTTTCAGTTTTCTTGAGGAGATCTCTAGTCTTTCCCATTCTATTGTTTTTCTCTATTTCTTTGCACTGTTCATTGAAGAAGGCCTTATCTCTCTCTGCTATTAGATTCCCTTATTATTTTGCTTTGAATTTATCAGAATTAGAATACAAAAGGGTTTATCTATCAAAAGATGACTTATGCTGTTTAGTTATTAGTCAAAATAAATCTGATTGGGTTCATTAGGGCCTTTGGGTCCTTAGACCTTGTCAGTTAAGTGATTACCCTGTAGAGTCAGTGAAGCGTTGCTCAGAAGCATGTGTTGTCTCTGGTGAATAATTACTGGTGGGGCTGACGTGCAGCAGATGCCTGACTCTCCCTTTCTGGGTCTCTTAGCAACAGCTTGAAGAGGAGGCCGCGAAGCCTCCAGAGCCCGAGAAGCCTGTGTCCCCCCCTCCTGTGGAGCAGAAGCACCGCAGTGTTGTCCAGATTATTTATGATGAAAACCGGGTAAGTTCAAGCCACTCCTTGGTGGCTCAGGGCTTGAAGACCACTGGGCTGTACCTTCTCCAGTTGTTTCTGTTCTGTGGTAATGTTAACTGTATTAAAACCTGCTTTCTGCTTTAATTTTGAATGTTCTTGAATTTTGAAGCTTGGTGTTTTTCTTTACATACTGAAGGAAAGTTGATAGTTGTGTCTTAAATTATTTAGTATTTCATATTCATGTTATATGGTATAAATACTTATTTTTGACAGTATAATTTATCAGCCAAATCTCCTGTTGTATGGTGTTAAGAAGTATGTAGCACATAATACAGCCATTCTGTGGTTTTTCACTTTATGAGGGACATTTGACGCCACTGTTGTAGTAGAGAATGGGTCATTGGATGTGGGAATGACTTGCATTATATGCTTCAGAACTGAGGGTTGGGGTGTAGTTTGAATTTTAGTTATAAAGTATGAAGCCACTGACCTTTAGGTAGACTTTGCCTTTATAGATCTGTTAAAACAATTTCTTCTTTCATGCTTATAATGAAAAGTGTCTGTGAATTTAGGAAAGCTGGACCTCAGTTCTATGAATAACTTTGTGATGTTGAAGTTGGTTTTTGACCAGAATCCAGCCCAGGAACTAGCAGTTAAAGGGAAACCAGCTTCCCCCTAACGTGAAGAGAACCTTGAGACAGAGCTGCTTATCATGGGTCTTCCAGAAGCCCCCATTCAAGGAGGAATTCCATGCATTATGTACTGTGCTAGAGAATTGGCTTGTCAGTTAAAGGCGACAATCTGCAGAAATTAGGGATTGTTGTTTCAGTTGTTTGCCCTGTTATGAGTGAAGTCACCAGAATCAGTGCATCTTATACAGGCAGCCTACAGCTACATTATCCCAGATCCTAAAGGAAATGGCTTTGAGAAAAGCAGCTGTGAGCTAGTCATTACATAAGGGTTTACACAAGTGGTCTTGGAGTCAGGTGTGCATGGATGTGTGTGTATAGATGGATAACTGAGTCATCAGACACCCAATACTCAAGATGACGGTAATTGTCACCAGGAGGCAGAAATACGAGTTAGTACCAGTTTCTTGACTGGGTTCAAAATCAGTCCAACTTATTGGACAGAACAGCCTCTGTGAAGGTGAGTCCAGTGAGGGTGAAAGGCAGTGGGTGGAATAAGTGATGAGGACCCCTCAGGCCTGGAGGGTAGGGATGTGCCCATGGCCAACCAGTGCTCCCTTGTTTAGGAGAACCTGGGAAAATGGATTTTATAGAAAGTCTCCTGCTTTTATAAAACAAACTGGAGAACAATAAAGCACTTCTGTGGGCTGATTGGCTTCAGGTCAATTTGTGACTCAAGGGTAAAGTAAATAAGGATCAGAGCTGGTGATGATGGAAAAGGATTTTATAAAACACTGAATTCTTAGTATGAGTTACTTTTCAAGTACGTTGAATCCAGTGATATTTATTAATTGAATTGCTTAATTAGCCTTCTCTTACAGGCTTAATAAACAGTTCCAGTGTTAGTGGGTTGTGCGGTTGCCTGACTAGGATGTGACAGAGAATTTGGTTTGTGTTTAATTCATATATGTGTGCTCTTTTTTGTTAGTGTGGTACGTTTTCCTCGATACCCATCAGCAGAGCCAAAAGTTCCTTTTGGACCTCTTCTTGCCATTTCATCATTTATACACTCAGCCTGTTACACATTCTGTGTACAAGAGAAGAACCTAGCTTGAAATCTGTGTTAATATTAGACTTACAGTGAAGATTGTTTTTAACTCAGTAACCATAGAAATCATCTTTTAAAACAAATTCCTTTTGTATCGCTGTTGCTAATTGTCTGCTGTGGTAGTGCTTGTGCAGTAGGTCCTAGATGGTAGCGGGGGTCCCCAGGGGTCAGGGTGGAGGTCCTCCGGGGCAGAAGTGGAGCATGCAGCCTTCCTCACTCCTGACCCTTACCCAAACCTTTCTTCTCGCCAGCTGCCTTTTGTCAGACCGTCACCCCATATGTGCTTCTTTTCATGAATGACCTTACCCATTTTGACACAGAAGGCAGAGAGCAGTGGTGGGCAACAAGGGTTGTCCCCCTCTTGTTTGTCAGCAGCACATGCTGGTTGCAGTTAAGCCTAACATGTCTTGAGAGACTGGGACCATGATCTGAGGGGCAACTTCTTTCTTTTATTTAGGACATTAGTGGGAAGCAGAAAACTGCTCACACTGATGGTTAGCTTTAAAACTGTCTTACTGAGAGAAAAAGTGCTCTGCATCATAGTTAAACTTGAGGCCAAGATTCATTTAGTCTCTAAACAGACTCTTCTGGACTATTTTTAATAGTTTAATTTGCTATCACCCTTCCCAGTTGTAGATCCCCAAAATATTTGTCAGTGCTCTAATTTCAGTATTCTAATATATATTGAAAGAGGGATGTGGAGTGTAGTTTTCAGAAACATTTATGTTTTGTTTGCAAGTTACTATGGCACTGGTTTCATTAGCAGAGAGAGATTGACAGTAGCGAATGTACTCAGTGCCAAAAACCCCTGGTCACCGAGGCCATTGTCCTGGAAACTATCGATTTCTCTCTTTTTGCTACTCTGCAGATTTGGTTAATCAATGAGGAGCCTCAGTCCTGCCTCCTGAGTGTTGGTCTGGTCAGTTGCTTCTCTCTTCCTCCTTTGGCACTAGCTTATTTTAAGCCATCACCTTGCATAGGTACTGAGTTTCTTTCCTTGAGTCTTTTTTTTCTTTCTAATCTATCCTTCATATTTGAGATCCCCAGTGTGATTTCCAAATAGCACTTTTTGCTGATTCCCCCCTTTCTCCCAAGTAGCCCAGCCTTTTCATCAGGGCTCACATGCCTGCAGGCCTGGAATCCTTTGTTAGCACTACCAGAACAGGTGTGAGTGTCCCCTCGATGACAGTGCTTTTTACCCTGTGATGTTGCCTCAGTGACAGGCGTCCCTGTGTTGCCTGTCTTGTCTGTCGGGTGTAATCACTTCAGGACCCACCACAAGGATCATTTTCTCTGTGAAGCCTTCCAAGACTCCTTATCCTCCTACACCAGGAAGTCAGTCTTATTCATTGTTTCCTTAGGGTCTAGCAGGTGCTTGGCACATGGAACATATTCAGTGTATGTTTGAGGCATTAATTCTATCTGTAGATTTAGAACAAAGTTATATTATGTAAATGTGAAGGTTTTAAATTAAATATTTGTGCCAAACAATTGATAGTTTAATCTGTTCCTAGCAGTTAAGCCAACGTTAAGTCAAATATTTAATAAAATTTTTCAAAACTTAAATATTGGGATATGCAAACACCTTCTAAATATCAGCTTTAAAATTAGTCCTGAAGAGGTAAGTGCCTTTAATTAATAGGATACCAGTAAATATTTGTCATAACATAATTTCCCCCTTGTGTACCAGTATTAATTTTAACGGTTCCACTTGGCCTGCCTGTTCTTGGTATAGACTCTGTGTAGTGGTAGAAGGCCTCGAGAAGGCAGATTGAAAAACTGGCAAGTGTAGATTATCTAGAGAGAATTCATTGAAGGTGCTAGATATTTCCAAATTTATCACCTGTGATTATGTTATTCGTGTGTTATTTAATACACGCCTTAAAGTTAGTAAATTTGAATTTTCTGGTATGTTCATTTGGCTTTTTGAGAACAGTTGTTCTCAACTGCAGACTTTTTTGATTGTTATAACTTATAGGGGGGTGGAGTGCTGGTGGCATCTAATGGATTGAGGCTGGGGTACTGCTGAGTAGCCCATAATCCCCAGGGCAGCCCCCATAAGAAAGAGACATCTGGCCCAAAATGTTAATAGTACCAAGGGCGACAAGTCTGCCTTAAAATTGTCAATAGAAATAGAGTTCACTCTGCACATTTTATGGGTTGTTACAGTTTTGTATTTGACATTTTTGATAGGTTTATTTCTTATCTCAATAACATTTTTGAGTTTCTTGGAGTTCAAAAAGTACATTACACTACTTTGAGCTTTCTACACTGGTTAAACATACTTCTTTTCACGTAATATATGCTAAGTAAATCTTTGACCAATTGACTGATAAATGAACAGGAGAGTGTTTATTTTAAGGGAACATCTTGCTTTACACTTGGGGATCCTGCTTGATTTCATTCCCATGATGTCTCACATCAGAAGTCCTGGTGAGTTCCCAGCCCCAGTGTGTGGACAGTGGGAGTCTGTAGTGGACAGGGAACCCTCGTGACCAACGAGCACGTGCTGGGCAGGGAGAGCTGAGAACCTTGACACTGTTGCCGGATGCAGAATTCCAGCTTAAACAGCTTGAGTGTCGAATTTTGTTATATTTAATTTGTCTATTAAAGGTAGATTTCTCTTAGATAGCACTTTGATCTAGATGATTTAACTTTTGAAAAAGACTTGTGGTGGTGGTTTAGTCACTAAGTTGTGTCTGACTCTTGAGACCTCATGGACCTGCAAGGCTCCTTTGTCCATGGGATTCTCCAGGTAAGAACACTGGAATGGGTTGCCATTTCCTTCTCCAGGGGATCTTCCTGACCCAGGAATTGAACTGGGGTCTCCTGCAAGACAGGGAGATTCTTTACCGACTGAGCTATGAGGGAAGCCCAAAAAGGCATGTGAAAGTATATATAATTCAACATTTATTCGCTAATGAGTACTTTGAGTAATTCAAACTAGTTGTTTTCTCTGTTATTACCAAGGTTTTCTTAAAATTAAAGAATATGCTCATTATAAGCTTTTCTTCAAAGAGATCAGTTTGGCCTACCATGGTAAAGATTGGCAACTTTATGGTATTTTGTGTTTTTAAGTCGTTTTTAAAGATATTAAGAGTTGAAGTTTTAAATATGTTTGAGGGATTCATTTCTAATAGTGAATCTCTGCTTCCTCTCACTGGAATCTTATTAGTAATATCTATTTGCTTTTAAGAACTTAGCAATTCTTTGGGTTTTGCTTTCAAAACACATGTTCAGATTTGACTGATTTGGTGAAGGAGTTATGAAAACAAAATTAGTATTTTAGCCTGTCATATGAAAGAAGAATATAAGGGTAAGTTTGACTATAGATTGGTCTTTAGGTAAATATTATTGAATTAGAAGTAATTTTGCATTTAGGTAAAGTAATTTTTAGTTATATAATATAATATTTTTATCTGTAGAAAAAAGCGGAAGAAGCTCATAAAATATTTGAAGGTCTTGGCCCGAAAGTTGAACTGGTGAGTAAAAAATTTTTTGTGTGTCTAGTGCTCTTTTGGTAGCAGTTTTTCTTGGGATAAGGTGGAGTATGGTTGCTTGATTCAGAATGAGAGTAATGTGGCCGGGTCAGTAAGGGTGATAAGCTTGAAATAACGTGCACAAACTTGGGAACTTTGCAGAGGCGTTTTCCTGATCATGTTTTTGCCTGAGCAGCTGTTAAATCACTGAGGTAGGAGGAGGAAGAAGTAATAGCAGAAATGGAAAACTCTTTGAATCATCTTGTTAGGGTAATAATGGCATTTAATCCTCCTTTGTCTTTCAGAGTTAAAAAATCTGAGTGAAGTGACTATGGGGTACAGTGGATTTCATTGTTAGCAGAGCGGGTGGACAGAGTTACTCAGATAGGCCAGCTAAAGTCTGGAGGTTGTGGCTGGCTGTTTGTGTGTAGACCCATTAGCAGTACTTTACCTGAGCTTCCATTGATGTGTAGGGAGTGTGTCTTTGTCTCTTAGTAGACAAGTGTACAACATTTTATGTATAAATGTTTGGTTTATTTTATAGCCACTCTATAACCAGCCATCAGACACCAAGGTGTACCATGAGAACATCAAGACGTAAGTATTGATCATCTTTGGAGTTCTTCAGTTAAAGACCGTATATTCTATAAAGAGACCTTTTTTACGTTATCTGCTGACGTAGTACTATAATGTAGTGTAGGTGTGTTTTAGATTTGTGTAATTTGCTGTCGTTTTACTATATGTTATCTTCCTCTGGCTTTTTGGGGGTTGGGGTAACAGCTTTGAGTTTCCGAGGCCAAAAAATAAAATAAATGATTGCATAAAACTAGCTGGTTTTATGATCTGCTAGTAAAAAAAAGGTGGATACTTAACATTGAAATGGCTTACCTTGAGGCTTGAATTTTTTGCCTCCTGTTTTGTCTTTTTTTCAGTGGAGTACCTGCAAGGCGCATGATGAAGTAAGATAATGAAGCTTTTTCATTTAAGACTAGTGATGACACCGTCCCCCACCAAGCCACATCTGCCATTGCAAAGTAGAAGTGCCACGGATCATTTTATCATTATTCAAATCCTATTCTAGGGAAATCCCTTCCATGACTCTTGCTAATGACGGTATTTGTAGACCCTTCTGCCGTTTCATGCCCTGGTGCCTCGGAAGCGCTCAGCCCTCACGTGGGTGCGGAGACTGCTCCACAATGTAGCTGGCTTAGCCTTGCTCCTCCCAGACACCAGGCCTTTCTGGATGCACATTTTGGAATAAGAAAATAAGTGAAAAGAAAACCTAATTTCTTGATCTGATTGAAGTAAGAGAGGAAGCTAGATAGGTATCTTTTTTTAAAATTATCATATTTTAAGAGAATTTTAGATGAATTATTATTAGTTTGTAACAAAAATGTGATATTTCTTCTTTATTATATGTTTTATTAACTATAACCAGAACATTATACTTATTTACTAGTACAGTTACTAATGAGCACATTGATATTTATATATATATAATATAATTTTTAAAAACTTTTTTCTTACTGAGAGTATATGCAATAGTTGGCTACTTTGCAGAATTGGTGGCAAATATAATTTGCATGGTAGTATGCATGACAGAAACTGAAATTTGAATGATTTTAACTTTTGTTAAGTAAGTCGTTTATAATAGTCATATACCTAGAATTTTTCTGTGAGATGCTGCTGTGGTCTTGACAACCCTTAGAACTAGGTTAGGCAAAACATATAAAAAAATATACCTTGTTTTGGAACTGTTTAGCTGTTCTAACATTTTTAAAAAGGAGAATAGCAGATAAAATCTAGTTGGCTACTTTTAATAATTTTTTTTTTCCACAAAGCTTCCATTATGTTTGTGTTCTGTCTTTTCCCTGATAGTTGCTGCAGAGTAGCCCTGTCTGATTTATTTCATATTAGCTATCTTCCTGCTGTAGTGCTTAGCACACTGTCCTGAGAAAGAGTTCTTCATGTAAATTCTTAGGAACCATTGTTAATTATATTTATTGATTGTCCTTTGCTGTTGAGTAGCACATAATTACAGCGAGAGCAAACTGCATACATGGCAGTGCTTCCACTGCACACCGCCTTGTGAAGTACCATCTACTCAGCTACGTGTGCTATGTTCAGTAGCTGTTCTGTCATCACTATCATTTGCTTTGTATGAAATAGCAAATGTTCCTTTCAGTAATTCTCTTTCATCTCTTGGCTCCTTTTCCATATAGCCAGCTCCTGACTGTTCATGCTTATTTGAGTGGAGCCAGTGTCAGTGTTAGTCCGGAGTGGCAGATAACCCAAAAAATTACTTCTACTTGCCTTGGCTATGTATTTATATTTGAATAATCAACTTGAAATCCTTTCTGGAAGTAGGTGGGGTATAAATATTTATATTTGAACCTGCATGCCATTGTTTTTGAAGGTTACAGTGCTTCATATTTGAAAAGTGAAAATGTTAAGTTATAAGGGAGGACTTGCTGTCCTGTCATGTCGTCCCCCCCGTGACTTCTGAGAGTGGACTGTGTTGTTTCTGTGCCTGAAGAAAGCCTCTGTTTAAGGCAGAGTCAGCTGTCTGTGTTGGTACACTCTGAGGAGGCAGGGCAGTGTGGACCTGTATTAGGAGGAAACTGCAAAAGCTTGGCCTCCTCTCTACCTCCCTCCTCCCAAGAGTGAACCAGAGTGTTTACCTCACTAGGATTCTTAAGAAGAATTAGTAACTGTTACAACTTGAAAATAATATTTGCCTTATGAATGTAATAGTTGAAAATGAACTCTCTGTGTTAAAGCCTTACTATAGAATGGGAGGAAATTTAGTCCTAATTATTGGAGGAGTCTTGTTTTGCAGGGTGAAAAAATTAGGATTAACTTTGATTATATTGTATATTCTTAAGTGATCTTTGCTTGTTTTTCAGTGTCTCTGAAAACAAAGTGAATGCACTATTAAATTGTACTTTTTCTTAATGTCATACAACCGTATTTTTCTCTTCTAGAAACCAGGTGATGAGGAAAAAACTCATTTTATTTTTTAAAAGAAGAAATCATGCAAGAAAACAAAGGGTGAGGTCCTATCCTTGTTCACTGAAATTTGTTCAGCTTTCCCGTCCGTGCTTCTTCAGGCATTCGCTTTCCCATTGTTAGTGAGAACAGTTCTTGACCACAGTTGAGAACAGGTACTGATTTGTACCTATAAATGTGACTTAGACATCAATCTGAGTCTAGTAACATTTTGATATCACAAATCACATTTAATATCATTATCAAATTTCCTTGGTCATCTGTGTATAGCATTTTCATCTAGCCAAAATAAAGAAAATGGTGAGTAGTTTAAAAACATATGAAAGAGAAGTAAGATGATCTCATTTAGTCTCTTAACCTCAGACAAATTGGGTAAGTTATGGTCATGCTGATGAGGCATCACTGTTCTTTCTTATTAGAAACTGGGTCAGCTAAAGTTCAGCTTTTTCAAATTCATGGTGTTCTTTGTATTTATTATGACTTGCAGTCTAAAAATTTTGTGGTTATAATCTTCATGGAAATTAAGTTACAGAAAATATGATGCCACTGTTCTTTTATAGTGTGTTCGTAATAATTATAGACTTTTAATTCATTTGAATGGTTTCTTACTGAATAAATGATATATTTTGATTCACATCAGAAATGAACTTGTACCTTGTATTTAAGGACCTGTTAGTTTAATGAATTATAAGGGTCACCAGCTTTTATTTGGTATATAATTCCTAATGTTCTAATTTGCCAATCTGGGCCTTCAGATACTTTCTTAAATTATCAGTCTTGAATTTTTTTTTTTTGGCCAAGAGCATACCACATTCAAATAAATTAGCTAAAGTATTTTTTTCTATCCAGTAATTTTGTTTTGATTGCGGTAATTGCTAAATTTGCTATCCAAAGAGACAAACATAGAGGTCCAGACTTTGTTCTTATACTTCACCGAGTATTTAGTTATGAACTTTGTATGTTCACTGACTTGCTTAGTAAATACTTATTGGCAGTTTCCCCTTTTCTGAGAGTGAACCAAGGTGTTTTATCTCACCAGGATTCAAAAGGAGAATCAGTATCTGTGTAGTTATAACTTAAAAGTAATGTTTGCCTTATAATTGAATGTAATAATTGAAAATGAACTCATGTATTCTACAAAGGGAGGAGATAGCCATGTGGCTTTAGCCCTTGGGGAGTCTAAGGAGGAACAGTGCAGATGAGGCCATGGGTGATTACTGTATTGTGGTCATCCGGTGGTTCAGGACATCCAGATGACTCTGAGAGCGTGTAGGGGACAGGTGGCACAGAGGTGGTCCTGAGGGGTGTTTCACAGGAAAACCAGCCGTCAGCCAACTTGTACAACGTCGGGAAGGGCTGGAAAGTGGAGGGAGTGTGGCAGGGCAGGGGAGCCAGGCCAGGTCGTGCATGGCCTGAGGGTCAGGAGGGGGCTTGAGGTCGGATGCTGAGGTCATCTGTGAAGTGTTTGAGCAGAGGAAAGGAATGTGCATCTAGTTACACCTCAGGGTGCATGGGAGCCGTGTAGGAAGGAGGCAAGGGGGTGACTTGAGAGTAGAGCCGAATGAAGGTAGATTCAGGCCCAAGAGGTGGACGGGTGTCGAGACAGAGGGAGTATGGGGGACAGCGCTTTCCCTCTCGTCCCTTCCTGGGCAGTCATGAGCCCTTTCACACCTTCTGTTGTTTTGCACCCACGGTCCTGTGCCCACAGTACAGGGTTCTTGCTTCTCTGTTTAAAGAATGAGATCACACATTATTCATTTCTCTAAAAGCATTCATTCTCGATTTCATGTAGTTTACTGGATTTCTTTTTATCATAGAGCGCAACCAGTTTCTGCCTTTTCCAGACTGTAAAAATGTTCATTATATGGCATTATTTATAGTAAGAAAAAATTGCAAGTAACCAGAACTTCCAACAGTAGGAGGGTGGTCTAAGTGTGAGTGTTTTCTTTGACGATGGAAAGGTGACAACAAAATGTTAATCTGCTTGCCTTTGGGATTACAAACTATTTACATGTTTCTATTTATCATTTTCCATTTTTTTGACAACGAAGACTTGTTATCAGAGTGGCTCAGCATGTAATTTGTTGATTTGTGTAGTCTTAATGTTGACTAAGAAATCCAGTCACGATAGGCTGTGTGTGTGGATCTTTCATAGAAAACAGCTCCCTGTCTTTCTCTTCTTTCAGATCAAGGACACCTTTTCATTCACAGTTGAGTCATAGGCCAAATGTCCTTCTGACTTAGCCTTAAGAAATAACCTGTGCTTTTAAGTATTAGGTTTATCAGAATCACAGAGTTTAGTTTAATTATTAATTTGCTACGGGTATTTAATAGGAACAAAAAATCTGCCAACGTTATGATCAGCTCATGGAGGCATGGGAGAAAAAAGTGGACAGAATAGAAAATAACCCTCGGAGGAAAGCTAAAGAAAGCAAAACAAGAGAGTACTATGAAAAGCAGTTTCCAGAGATTCGAAAACAGAGAGAACAGCAAGAACGGTTTCAGCGGTAAGTGGTTTGATATTTTTCTTTGAATCATATTTATGATCTTTCACAATATTTATTGTCACCTGAATCTAACCATTAAGAAAGTTAGTAGAGAACTTTTGTTATGTTTTTCCTTTTTTAAAAATAAATCCAATGTAGTTGATTTACAGTGTTGTACCAGTCTTTGCTGTACAGCAGTGACTCAGTTTCTCACATACATACCTTCTTTTTTAAATATTCTTTTCCGTTATGATTTATCCCAGGATACTGAATGTAGTTCCCTATGCTATACAGTGGGACCTGTTGCTTATCCATCCTATATATAATAGCTTGCATCTGCTAATCCCAAACTCCCAATCTATCCCTCCCCCACCCCTTGGCAATTACAAATCTCTTCTCTACATCTATGAGTCTAAGAACTTTTAGTTTGAATATAAAACTTTGTTATCAACTAGCAATGTTTATGTCTTGGTGAATCTAGTAACTTTTTATATTTAGTCATGCTGTTGAATCTAAATTTAAATGAATATGTTGAAATTCTTCAGTTCTTGAAAATGCTCATTCCTTTTGAAAGGACAGTAAGAATAAGACAGTGTTTCATGGTCCTTTGTATCTTTCAGCATAATCAAAAGTCTTACTAAATTGTTTGCTAATTAAGAAATTCTTTGTTATTGGTATGTAGTTTCTGATTTGTTTTTACTTTAGAGGACAAGTGCTTTTGCAAAGGTAGAATCTTTAGTTGTCTTTTCTGCTGTCTCATGTGAGTCATGGAAGCCCTGGTAACCACAGTTAAGTTGTGAGGGGTGATGATTGGATTTTTGTTCCCCTCCCTTTATAAATGTTTTATGTATTTTTCTAAGTCTGCTGTCCTGTGCTGTGGGAGGCAGACACAAGACTGCTGTTTGAAATGAAAATGACACCAATAACTAGTTTTCCAGATGTTTCCCTCGAACAGTTCAGCCATTTGAATTTAGACATGTAACCTTTAAAAAGAAATTTAGCATTTAAATTGTTACTAATTTTATAGATAAATGAATTAAACATATTGCTTAAAAGTAGTTAATAGCATTTTAGGGGGTTTTTTTCCCCTGACTTCTGGTCCCACTCAGGAAGCAAATTGATACAAAAGTAACCTAATTGATACTTCTTCTTTATGAAAGGCCTTTAAATATATATGTAATTTCTCCCTCATATTTAGAGTTGGGCAGAGGGGAGCTGGTCTTTCAGCCACCATTGCTAGGAGTGAACATGAGATTTCTGAAATTATTGATGGGCTCTCTGAACAGGAGGTAAGACGCTTAATTTATTTAATTTATGTTAATTGATTAGGCATTTTAGCTTCATACCCCATGAACTAAGGGTTTATTTATATATATATGAGAGAATGCTTAGAGCGTTTGAGTTTTTCCAAAGTACTTGGCCAACCATTGAAGGTTTTAAACAAGGCTGCCCTGAGATCTTACTGGTGTTTTGTGAAGATGGCTTTGGAAGCAGGGAGGCCTGAAAAGAGGTGAGGACGCTGCTATGATTAAAAATAAGGGCCTGAATCAGGGCGACAGTGGTAGAAATGTGTTAAGAGGGGCCTGATAGGACAGATTAGTAGAAGGCAGAATGGATAGGACAGGAGTAGGGGGAAAGGACGAGCAGGTTAGAGGATGGGCTCCTGCTGCCGTTTTCCTGAAAGAGCAAAGGAGCCGGTGTTGGTGTGTTGGGTTGTGGACCTGAAGTTCATTGAGGGTGGAGTAGGGGGTGATGTCTAGAGTGTGATCTCTAGCCAGCTGAGCCTGGGAGAGAGCGATACGATGTTAATAAATCAGTTCTGAATAAGAATAAATTTCAGTTTCTAGCACTGAGTCTTCATAGTTGTGTTTACACTCTCTGAAGGTTGGTCCAAAAGCCACGTATTAACTTTTGCTAGTTTTGGTTTTAAAATGACTTTTTGAAAACCTCCTCTCTCAATTCTGAAGGGGTGGTCCTCTTAAGTAATAATCAAAGACAATTATTATATTGCTGTACATTTCAGGCTTTGTGACCGTGATCTCTGCAGTGATGACTAACTCTGCATTTAATTTCTTTGCTTACTGTTTGAAACTGATTGTATAAGAGGGGCATCTATAAGCAACCCAAGCTAGTATTAGCTGAATACTAGCTGAATGTGAAGCTAGTGAATGTCAGTGAAAGTGAAGTCACTCAGTCGTGTCCGACTCTTTGCGACCCTGTGGACTGTAGCCTACCAGGCTCCTCCGTCCATGGGGTTTTCCGGGCAGGAGTACTGGAGTGGGTTGCCATTTCCTTCTCCAAGTGAATGTCAAGCTAGTGTGAATGTCAAGGTGAATGTCAAGCTAGTGTGTCTGTCCCAAACTACATTTTGGTGTTTAGACAGACTGCAGTTGAATGTGCTAAGTCACTCCAGCCATGTCCGACTCTCTGCGATCCCATGGACTGTGGCCCTCCAGGGCCCCCTGTCCGTGGGATTCTCCAGCAAGAATACTAGGGTGGGTCGCCATTTTCTCCTCCAGGGGATCTTCTTGACCCAGGTATCAAACCTGCATCTCTTATGTCTCCTGCATTGACAGGCGGGTTCTTTACCACTTGAGAGTCCCTGTAAAATGAGAAACTCTGTCAGGAGTTGACTAAGGCAATGTCCACTGCTAGGAGAAGAGTTTCAGAAGACCTAGCCTTGTGTTGGGGTCAGTAGTTATGATTTTCGGTACAGGTTTTCTCATGGAAGTTTGTGCTTATAAACTTGAATTAAGTTTTGGGAAGATAAATTGTATAGCTGAAACCAAGTTTTAGTTGAAATTTGAAGGATGATAGTCTTAAATTTGCAGTGGAAAGATTATGTAAGATTAGCAAGAAGTGTTTAATACTTCAGTATGTCTAGTTAATTTAAAATTAATGACCTTAAGATTTTGGTTCCTGTCTGTGTATTTTTCTATTTTATTTTCTATAAAATGATATTGAGACTTTTTAAAATGAGGCAATATTAATGTTAATAAGTGCTTCATATGGTCATTACTTCAGTGATCTGACATCACTGTGTGTCCTTTAGGTCTAAGATCCATTAGCTGAAGTATCTGCTGCGTTCAAGGAAAGAACTCTTCTCACATTGTAGTGGTGGATTTAAAAAAAATAGTACATGTACTTTCTGCCTCTCTGCCTCTGTTATTCACACAATGAGTGTTTATTAGATCCGTATATAATGACCATCTGTTAGATGTTATGGTACCACTGCTGCTGTTGTTAAAGTGCATATGTGGTGTTTCAGTGTCTGTTAAGATAGTTATAGTCTGTGGTCCTCTTTAAGTTTAATTCTATGTAAATTGCATTTCTTCTTTTTTTCCTTCAGAATAATGAGAAACAAATGCGACAGCTCTCTGTGATCCCGCCTATGATGTTTGATGCTGAACAGAGACGGGTCAAGTTCATTAACATGAATGGCCTCATGGAGGACCCTATGAAGGTTTATAAAGATAGGCAGTTCATGAATGTTTGGACTGACCATGAGAAGGAGATCTTTAAAGACAAGTAATTTAAATTTTAAATTATTCTCTAATAGAAGCTTATATGAGTTAGTGAAAGGTATTGGCATTTACTTGTAAATTGAATTGTTTCCCCCAAAACATGGCCCCATTTTGGCATTTGAATAATGTGGGAGGCAGAGAAGACAGATAGGATGCAACCTGCCTGTAAAGTTATAGCTGGAAATGTAGGTACCAGCTTAGAACAGAGCTGTGGAGGCATTTTAAGAGTGCTACCCAAACCTGAGTGGTGTCAGAATCACTGGGGGTGCATTTTAAAGTTACTGATTTCTGTGCAATACTGTATCCCAATCCAGTCAGTTCCTGGTGGACTGTGCCCAGGAATCTGTGCCCTTTAAGAGGACATTGGCCTTTAGAAGTCACTAGGAATTAGTCTACATTATATTTGTATTCCCAAGGGCTTCCCCCACCTCTTTTTAAGTTGTTAAAGTGTGTGTGTGTGTGTTGTTTTTTTTTTTTTTTTTGAATTTCCTCATTTATTACTTTTTTTTTTTCCATTTATTTTTATTAGTTGGAGGCTAATTACTTTACAACATTGCAGTGGTTTTTGTCATACATTGAAATGGATTAGCCATGGATTTACATGTATTCCCCATCCCGGTCCCCCCTCCCACCTCCCTCTCCACCCGATCCCTCTGGGTCTTCCCAGTGCACCAGGCCCAAGCACTTGTCTCATTCATCCAACCTGGGCTGGTGATCTGTTTCACCCTAGATAATATACATGTTTCGATGCTGTTCTCTTGAAACATCCCACCCTCGCCTTCTCCCACAGAGTCCACAAGTCTGTTCTATACATCTGAGTTATTTTTCTTTTACTCAGGTTTATCCAGCATCCAAAAAACTTTGGACTGATTGCATCTTACTTGGAAAGGAAGGTAGGAAATGGTTTACACTGAGATTGTTGATAGATTTGGGTTGGTTGCTGCTTTGAAGGTTTTGTGTGCTAAAGCACAGAAGTAGTTAGAGTTTTTGCAAGGGGCTTGACACAGAAAAGATTCTTATGTGAATAATATAGTGGTATTTACAATCACATGATGGTAATTCTAAGCACAACACAGACTAATTTTCATGGTTAATGAAAATGACCTGATACTATGTTTCCCTAAAAACACACAGGTTACAGTGTTTTTCTGAACCTCATTAAACTTCTAATTAAAATTTCGGAGTCCTGATTTTCCCTGAATTTGTTCCACAATGTATTATTGAATGTTGGGTTTATGAACAAAATATTTAAAGAGACATTTTGCGTATTTACTTATATAGAGGAAGAAAGAGAATTTAGTTACTGGTTAATAAGAAAGTGCTTAAATGTTTCTGATAGTTTCTGGTATCTTTTACATAATTTGTATTAAGATAGCTGTAATTGTCCATCAAAACAGTAGAACTATATATCTATATATCTATCTATCTATATATATTTTTTTACAGCCTAGATATGCCTTAAAGAGCTAACCATTGGTGTTTTTCTCCAGTTTATATTTTGAGAACACTAGAGATTTTCCTTGAAGATGTTATTTGGTTTTTTTTTTAATTCAATCTCATTGGATACTCAATTTTTTTATAGAGTGTTCCTGATTGTGTTTTATATTACTACTTAACCAAGAAAAATGAGAATTATAAAGCCCTAGTAAGAAGGAACTATGGAAAACGCAGAGGGAGAAATCAGGTATGTTTCATTATTGTATGGAAACTATTTCAAGGTTGGTGGAATATAAAGATGAAAAATTTTATAATAGGGGCTTTCTCTGTACTTCAGGAATTGACCTTTCTATCAAATTAATTAGAATGTTATGAACATGCTTTGATTATTTTGAAATTAATATATATTTAATGTGTTGCATTTTCTATTTTGAATGCATTTTAAGTTTCTGGCATACCAAAATTAATGAGAAGTTTTATATTTTCATGCTATTGAAATTGTGCATGTCAGAGTTAACAGTTGTAATATATCTTAATGAATACACCACCCTTTCCAGTCCTTTGGTCTGTGAAGGGGACAGGTAGAGTAAGGTGACAGGAGTCGAGGGTTGCTTGCTAAAATACTTGGAACCTGATTGTTTCAGGTTAGCTTCAGTTCTGGGGTTGAAGCACTCAATGTCAGAAGATTGTGTCTAATGCAGTGCAGTGTGTGTTTTCACAGTGACAGTTCAGAACTTTAGAAGCTCTTTTCCTTCGAATAGCTGCTCAGCTGCCACCACAGCTCCCTCCTGCTCTTCTGTTTGCCTCATGCCCTGAGACCACTGGTAGGATGGTGGCACCTGTGGACACAACAGCTACTGCCGTCATGAGTGTTCTGACATGCTTTGTTCTCCACAGCCCTCACCTGCCTTCCCTGGTCACTCTGATCTCTAGATACAGATTCTCTGATCTCCAGATACAGGTTCCCTCATGATGTGTGGTCAGAAGTGTCTTGTGTGTTCTGGGTCATTGTTTCCTCCAGAGCAATGCCACCTCTTGGGATGTGGTCTTACATCCCAAGACTTCAGAAACAGTGTTTTTTGGTCAAGAAAAGTATAGAGTGTTTGAGGAGTCAGCTGTGTAAGGGCTGCTGGAGGTCGGGGGAGTAGCGATGGGGATGAAGGGCCAGGACTGAGACCCTAGTAAGTGAGGGGCATTGGTGGGTGGTGTGTGCAGAGCATAGATGACCCCTTGATTGTAAGGTTCTGCTGCGGGCTAGTTTCAGGCAGCAGGGCATGTGGGAGTGTTTGCTTACCTGAAGACCCTGGTTGGTATTAGGGCAGAAGAGTATTGGGGGAATACAGTTACATGTGTTGTTAAAACCCAAGGACAATGTACCTCTTTCCTTGTCTTCAGCTGAGTTGACACCTTCCCATGGCTTCTTGGGGCTGTAAACTGTTTCTGGGTTATGCAGCCCACTTGCTAGACAGATAGCTGAGTTTGTCATTTGTGTACCATCTTGTTGTTTCAGATGACAGATGAATGCTACCTTTGTGGGGTGCAGGGTGAGGTTACTAGCATTTGAAACAGGTCTTGTGACCACTGTGGTATACTTGAGAGTTGGGGTGAATGAAACATTCCCAGTTGTAAAGCAAAACTAGTCCCAGTTGGAGAGTATGCATTTGAAAATCTTCCCGATTTCTTAGTTTTCTCTAAGGTGATAATGCATACCCAAAAGAAAATGAAACTTGCAATTAGAAGGGTATGAAGCTGTGAAGGTCAGATAAGGCCAGTGAGGGAGTTGTGGTATTGAAACAATCTAGCCAGAGTGCAAGAGTGGATGGATTCCATTCTTGGTGAATTGTGGAAATTTCATAGAATCAAGATCATGAGGACAGAAAGCAGGATTGACAACAGTGGAAAGGTGGGATGGGGGAGGCACTTGAGTAGATTGCAGGGTCCTGGAGGTGATGCATGCCCATTGAAGATGGTGGTGGTGATGCCCTGTGGGAGGTTTTGATGGGCATGACCTGAAAGTATTTCACACACAGGATATCATGTTGATAGAAAAGGTAGTGACTAGCATCTTGAATCTGAAGAATAATGACAAGGCCTGATGAGCCATGTGATAAAGTCATCTCTGTGTTCCTGGGAGACTTTGAGAGTCAGTTCTTAACACTAAATGATGAAGAAAGGTGTCATAGGTAGACTCTGAAATTTATAAAAAGAAGATTTTAAACACCATGGTTGAACAGTGTTCTGGAAGGGGTGGTCGGGAACAAGACGGGTTCTGATTCTTCCTCCTTCCACCTGGGTTAGAAGAAGGCAGTGTAGGACATTTTCTGGAGAAAACTGAAGAGAAATTATCTTAAGGAAAAAGCTAATGGTAGTTTTGGGGGGTCGGTAAAAGACTTTGAGTTTCCATCAAAAATTAAGGAAAATTTTGCTTTGTTTTGGGCAAAGGTGTGAAAATGTTGGGTGTGCTGAGGGTAGCCTGAGCACAGACCCTGTGGGAAGGGGCAGAGGCTGGAAAGAGGTACTGTGCCTGGGATGGTCCTGTTTGGTTAGGCCGTTGGATTTCTTCAATAAATGTAATAGAACTCAACACAAACTTAATTTTACTTTTCTCTCAGAGTCACAATTCTAGCAGTCGAGACAGCAAAGATATAAGGGTCCATATCTTATCTCTCCCAGTCTTTGTTATATGTTTATTTACAGGCACTTAGTTGTAATTACAGCTTAGATATATTTGAGTGTTTACTTTTCACTTTGTTGTATCCATAGTATTTTTCTAAATTGCTTCATTCTTGATTATGACCATGACAGTCTACTATTCTGGTAAATGAATGTTTCCCCAAAGACAAACAACATAAAGAGGTTTCTTGTAGTATTATCCATAATGATGAAAAAATTGGCAACATGTTAAATATCTAATACTAGGGGCAGTGGTTTGATAAATTATAGTTTATCAAATTTCACAGCAGAATTGAAATGTTTAAGTGACAGATTAGATGTTGAAATTAGAGTACCAACCTCAGATTTCTAAGTGGAATTCTAACATTGTCGCCTCTCTGGATCCAAACATAAGGAGCATTTGTGTGTATGTACCCTTGTAAGCAATACATACAGACTACATTAAAGAGCTTTCAACTGATTTTTAATGCATGACCCCTGGTTACATTGTGGAGGATTAATTAATAAGTTTAATTTGTTGCATAGATACTTATTATCATTACAATTTTAAGAGCTGTTTCTTTTACTTTCCAACTTTACAAATGATGGTTCATTCTAGCAGCAAATTGCCCGACCCTCACAAGAAGAAAAAGTAGAAGAAAAGGAAGAGGATAAAGCAGAAAAAACAGAAAAAAAAGAGGAGGAAAAGAAAGATGAAGAAGAAAAGGATGAAAAGGAGGACTCTAAGTGAGTTAGTTAAATATTATTGTTATTTGAAAATAATGAGATTGAATCTATTGAAGGTATAAAATTTTAGATTTTAGAAAAATCAATGGGATGTGTGCTTTGTTGCCTAGTGGTTATTTGACATAATTAAGGGGTGGAATATTCTAGTAAGTATAACTTTTGGATTGATGGACTTATTTGCCAGATATGACCTCGTATGTTTCAGAAGGGATGGACTAAATAGTACACAGTGGTAGTTGCTTGTGTAGTTGTTCATTTCTTTTTAATATTTATTTTGTTATTTCTCTAATCTTCTTGGAAATACTGAAGCTTTGTCTGATTTTGAGGCAGTTAAAGCAGCCTAAATCATTTGTCATGGTTTTTAAAGTGTTGAATACTCATGCTATTCTAATTTTGTACTTTAGGAAGAGGAAACCTATAGTTTTTTGCTTTTCTATTTTTTTTACTTATTCAGATAAAACATTTGTCCTCGCCACGTGGTCAGTGGTTATAAGTTACTCATAAGTGCTTATAAGTTACTGCCACATCTCGTTTTGACTTTGTTCTTAAAATCCCTGGTTTGTTTAATGGGTGCTCGTATACTGCTTCTGAGAGCTCAGTCTTCTGGAGGGTGCAGAGACCTGTATGACGTGTGCTCTTCTCGGGCAGTTTATAAGCCAGGAGGGGAATTAGGCAAGATCCAAGTGGGAGGGGAGGAAAATGGCCTGAAAGGCAGGTGCGGAAGCAGTAAAGTGTGCTGGGAGACTGAAAAGAGCTTGAGATTTTCTTCCACCTGCATAGCCTAGAGGACTTCATGCAGGAGCTAGTGGTCAGTGTGGGTACAGTAGAGGGTTTAGTGTGGATGGACAGGCCTCCTTGGGAAATGGCAGATAGTGGTTTCATTAGACTGGAACATCAGACGCCTCAGGAGAAAAATAGGAGGAGGCTGGGGTTCGATATGTAAAGCCTTAAAGAAAGCTCAATGTGGACTTCACTCAGGGAGCCATGTGGCTCTGTTTAGGAATAGGTAGGATTAGCATTGCTGAAATGGTTTCCTGCTATAGCTCTTCCACTAGAATGTGGCTCTGTGAGCAGTTTAGGATGAACGGAGAGGTGGGGGCAGGCGTGAAAGGCTGGGGCTGGGCTTCTGGGGCTCTGGACATGCACAATGGTGATGGAAACACAAGTGGTGGGAGAAAGGTTAGTGAGATGGAAGGTTCACTGACGGAGAGTGACGAGTGCGGGAGAGAACTGCAGGCGCGATCAGGTCTGTAAACTGGGTGATGGTGAGGGTGCTGGTTCTGTCGACAGCAGGCAGTTGGGGCCCAAGGGAGCAGGAAGCAGGGTGGGAAGGGCGGGCATGTATGCGGGCAGATTGAGTTTATGTTGATGAGAAGCCCAAGTGGTTATTCCAGGTAACTGAGTTTTTTTGGGGGGAGGGTTGGTTCAGTTTCTGTTTGAAGAATTCTCAAAGCTTTAATCTTTTTGGTATATGTATACTTTTAAATCACACAAAATGTTCTTTGGCCACTGTTTCTAGAGAAAATACCAAGGAAAAGGATAAGACAGAGGGGACAGCTGAAGAAACTGAGGAGAGAGAGCAAGCCACACCCCGGGGCCGGAAGACCGCCAATAGCCAGGGCCGCCGGAAGGGCCGGATCACCAGGTCCATGACCAGTGAGGCTGCGGCGGCCAGTGCTGCTGCGGCCGCGGCCACTGAGGAGCCCCCGCCACCTCTGCCACCGCCACCAGAGCCCAGTGAGTGGACAGGGCTGGAGCGAATGGGCCACAATTTTGTTTGGGATTCCATTTCAGTGCTGGGGTGCGGCAGGAGGGACATCTGATACTGGCAGCCTAGAAATACTGATCTGAAACTCTGGCCTTTACATTCGTTAGACTGTAATATCAAAGTCTTCTGAAAAAGAGCACCAGCCCTGACCTCACTACCCTAACACCGTGGGTTTCCTTTGTACTTAGTTGTAATCCTAGTGTGCGTGCCACCTTGTTTTCTGAGGTTTTAACTGGGCACGTGTCATGAATGTTTTCTAGTTTCTGGGTGATCTTTATTTTCACTTTTGATAGCTTTGAGATGTTGGCCATCTCATCCCCCTTTAAAGCTAACATAGATGGCACTGTAATGAAAAAAACTTGATTCACATGGCATTTTCTTTCTGTTAAATTAACCTTCATAGGAATAAATTCTTAGACAAGGAAATACTGGATCTAAGCACAGGCATTTTTCTCTCTTATTAGGGACTGTCTTCATTAGTTTAAAAAAGGATCATATTAATGATGAGTCCTGTCACTGGTGGCTCAGTGGTACCAACGTTATCATTATATGAAGTATTGATGTGAAGAAAGTGCAAGTTCTGGGAATGACAAGGATAAAATGAAGGAAATAATTTAGACAGGTGGATGGGGGCAGATCATGGTGGGCTTTGTTTTGACTATATCCTGTTTTGCTTACAAAGCAAAGATTTTTAAATAGACGAGTGTTGCAATTAGATTGGTGCTTTACAAAGATAACTGGTGAGAGTGTGGAGGTATATTTGGAGTTAACAGATTATATGCTTGGTGCTGTATAATATATGGATGATTTTACTCTGACTTACTGAGTTCTACCTTTGTTTCAGTTTCTACTGAACCTGTAGAAACTTCTCGATGGACAGAAGAAGAAATGGAAGTTGCTAAAAAAGGTAAATGATAGTAGTTCAGGTTCTTTGGGTTTGTTTTAGTTTGTTTGTTTTTAGGGTTATTAGTAATGAGTGATACGGAACTAATTTCTTTTTAATTAAAAAAAAAAGTTCTTCCACAATGGAAGCAGAATTTAGAAGTACACTTAGAAGGTCTTTTTGATGGTATCCTGCTCTGTAAGTTACCCCAGTGTGTCTTGTTTGAGGGACCCATTTTTGAGGGATTTAACATACTCTCTCATTTTATTTTGAATGTCTTGTTAGAGAGCAGGTAAGCTACTTTCAGTTTTATAGAAGAGTTATGATTAAATGCTCTTAATGTTGTTTTGGAGGGTATTTGATATAAAAAGTCTCTTATTTAAAAGTTGCATTTAATAGAATGATAACTATTTCCTCAGTTTGCATTTAGTAAGGCTAAGTTTTATTACAAACTGCTAAGAAATTGTGTTATGATTCAGAGGTGAGAGCATGGACTTTGCAGCCAGACAGATGAATGTTTGAGTTCTGCCTCTGACACTTGTGTAGCATGTGGTCTTCATTTTACTCTGGAACACTACGGGTTTTTTGTTCTTCTCTTCTTGCTTATAAATGACCTGTATAAAGTACAGGTCATACAGTTTGAAATTAGCCAAAATTTCTAAAAGGATAAATAATTGGTTTATAAATACTTTTTAAGTAAAATAATTTTGAGAAAATTTAGCCAATTCTTTTGAGGGTTAAGGATTTACCTTGAAGTTCCAAAGAGAAATTATTGCTAATAGCTTGACCTTTTGGTGACACATTTCAGATTTATTTTCTATTTAGCTGGTAATGAGTAACACATTTAAGAATCATGTAAACTTTGCCTGAAATACAGCAGTTTAGAGTGTTCTGTCCTCAGAATAGTTTCATTTGAGGTGTGTTTGCCGTGACGGTTGTACTCACATGCCTTGCTGTCATCTGACCATCACAGCACAGTAAGTGGATGCCCATGTTGCCACAGTGTGGTCTGGTCAGAGGCACATCCCCACACCTGACTGCTCAGGCCCCTTCCTTTCAGCTTTTGTCATACGCTGGCAGAATCTGGAGGTGATCGTCAGTTTTCATTGTGAAGGAATCTACTGGTGTTAACCTTGAAAAGTTGATGTTTTCCCCACCAATTATTGAATTTGCACTAGAAATTCCTGCTTGGATACATCTATGTCTAATGTACAATCTCTGTGTTTATGTGTTTATATGCCCATATTTCGTGCACATATGTTTCTGTGTGCATATGTGTGTCATTTGTTGGAAGGAAGTCAGATTGAATAGGTTCCTGTGATGCATTGTATTACAGAAGGTTTAAGACAACCTGGTTGATATTTTCGAGGGGATCCTTGATTGGAAATGGACTGGGGACATGTTGATTATACCTGGAGCCTCAAGTATGTGTCTATTTGATTGCCTTGTTAACCTTGTGCTGATACAGTGTTCCCCAGGATCTAGAAGTACCTAACCACACAGTTGACAGTGTCTGGGCTCTCCCTGTGTGTCCGCATTGTTCTGGTCCCCTGGGAGATAACACAGCAAGGACAGGGTCACGTCCTTCCAATATTGAGCATGTTTGAACTTTGGGTAGAAAAATAGAGCTGTTAATGAGTTTGTGTCAATCACATTTTAATAAGCATTGAAATGTATCAATAAATAACTGAAAACGCATTGTTAATGATGGTGAGTGCAAGGATTTAGGGGTATTGTATTATTTTTCTTGCTTGCTGTATCAGGTGACTATTCAATTAATGTTTGGTTTGTTTTTAAAATACAGGTCTAGTGGAACATGGTCGTAACTGGGCAGCAATTGCAAAGATGGTGGGAACTAAAAGTGAAGCCCAATGTAAAAACTTCTATTTTAACTATAAACGGAGGCACAATCTTGACAACCTTTTGCAGCAGCATAAACAGAAAGTGAGTATATCAGAGGTGGTGAATCTTTTACTTGTTTTGTGTGTGTGTGTGTGTGTGTGTGTGTGTGCTTCAAAGATTGGTTTTGAAGAAAACTTTTTTGTAGCCTTACCTATATTTCTTGGCACAAGTTGACTGTTTGTTTATTGCCCAAAGAGTAAAATTTCTGTTAGTAGTAATGGCAGTGCAGTACTTTTGAATTACTGTAAACTGGATTTGAAAAATATGAGCATTTTGGAGTTTGAACTTTAGAGTTCTGTTGACCATATTGAATGAATTGATCTAGCTTATTAAAAAAGATGTTTTCTCAGAGACTCCATGGGGTAAAGACTAAAAACCAGCAAGTTTTGAAGTCTTATGGAAAAAATTATTTAAAGATTATTAGAGATTATTGAAAATGCCTTAACAGGAAGTTCCAGTGTTCTCAGTCTACAGAGCCCTTTGAGGGCTCCATGAATATTTTGTTTTCATAAGAAAATTATTAAGATGTTCCCTTTCCCACTATGTGGACATTTGCATCCTTGGCGTCAGAGAAGCTGTGAGTGAGAGTGTTGGTACCTTAGTGTGGACCGTGGTGGCACTGCCAAGCTCAGTGCACTCTTCATCTCCAGGCAGTTGCAGCTTTGTTTTTGTAAAAACGGCAGTTTCACTTAGTGCCCTCAGTGAAGCAAATAAAACTTGACTCTGGTAAACCTTGAGCCTTGCACATGTGTCTATATGATAGTGGGCAGGGCAGAGAGCCCTCTGCACTGTCTTGGGCCAGGGTAGCACTCAAGGAAAGGCACACTTGGGTTGTTTGAGCTCCAAGCTAAACAAACCTCGCCTTTTTCATGGAATGTCATTTTTAATTAAAAGAGTGACACTTTTTAGACCTGAAAAGTTTGCAGACATTTTCTTGAAAATGAGTGAGCCTGTCTTGAAAGAAAACATCCATTAATATTGGTTGCCATTTTAAAATTTCCAACTTTTAGGCAAAAATTAAAATTTTGGTAAATGCATCTCTCTCAGCATGAGCTTAACATCTTCACACTACTCAAAGACTTTTCTGATGAGACTGTCTAGCTGCTAGCATTATGAGGAATTTTTATTTTTCTCAACATAATTTTCTGTGTCATCTACATTCCATGACATTATTTTTATTAGAAAATAAATGTGTATGTTATTTTTACTATTTTTGGAGGGGGAGAAGAACAGGAGTCTTTAGAGCTTTGGCTGTTTGTCCATGTAAAGTGATGCTACTGCTAAGTCTTCAGTCGTGTCCGACTCTGTGCGACCCCATAGACGGCAGCCCACCAGGCTCCCCTGCCCCTGGGATTCTCCAGTCAAGAACACTGGAGTGGGTTGCCATTTCCTGCTCCGATGCATGAAAGTGAAAAGTGAAAGGGAAGTCACTCAGTCGTGTCTGACTCTGAGCGACCCCATGGACTGCAGCCCACCAGGCTCCTCCGTCCATGGGATTTTCCAGGCAAGAGGACTGGAGTGGGGTGCCATTGCCTTCTCCAGTAGACTGATGAGTAGTTCCAAAAATAGTTTGGATGTGACTTTTGATCATTTTGATAAAAGCGATCCATCTGCGCACAAGGCCTGTTAGTGGTCCCTGAGGGGACTGCCCCCCAGCCAGGGTGCTTGTCAGATATGCAGCTGCTGGTCTGGTGCATGCCTTCTGCCTCAGCTCAGCTGTGAGAAGGCTTGCTTCTTTCCTTTCAGTTATGTAAATTCCAAGTAACAGTATTTTTACTCTTCTAGGCCTCACGGAAGCCCCGTGAAGAGCGAGACGTGTCTCAGTGTGAAAGTGTGGCCTCCACTGTCTCAGCACAGGAGGACGAGGACATTGAAGCCTCTAATGAAGAGGAGAACCCTGAGGACAGTGAAGGTACCACCACTCTTCCGTCTGGTTGTGGCGTCTGCTGGCCCACACGCATGACGGGTACCTTAGTTGTTTGGCTGTCTAGGAATTACTTCATTCAGGAAATGAGAACACAGTGTATTTATCATTCAATCACACATGTATTTATGTAGCTCCTGAGATGGTCCAGGTGCTGCAATTGAAAGGTCTTGAAGGATGGCAGTCCTGCCTGAGACACTAAGTGCCAGCGTCCATAAGCTGTCAGTGTGTCTCTATCGTTGCCACACATATTGGTTCAGTCATTAGCTTCAGTTTCATTTTCCTCTTTCTTTATTTTATCAAGCTTGATTTATGTCAGCATTTATAAAGCTGAACATGTCATATTGATGTTTCCATGAAAAAAATGTATTAATGGCCCAGAGGCATTGGCCAAAAAAATGTCAAGAAACTTAAATAAAATCCTTTATGCTATTTGAAAAATTAATGACAACTTCCTCAAAAAGTAAATGTTTTCTTGATTTTTTTCAAATTAAAAAAGGTACCTAATTTACTTTAGTTTACATTACTATTAAAGTTTCTGTGAATTTCTTTTAACTGTCCTCTTCTCAAGTGGGGATTTTCACAATGAGGATTCCAGTAGCTTTTAATATGTTATATCTAACGTGTTCATGTTTTATGTATGCAAATATTTTCTCTATCTCATTTGCTTTTTATTTTATCTTTAAATTACCAGAATTTAAGCTTCGCAGGTAATTGGAGCTATTTGCATTTTCCTTTGTAGGCTCTTATGTTTTAGGCTTAAAAGGGTCTACACCTTCCAGGAGTTTTAAAAATACTAGATTTTGGTTTCTCTACAAATTGTTGTCATTGGGTTTTAAACTTAAACATTTATCTTGAAATGGGTTTTGACTTTGAGCAATAAGTGAACTTTATTCTGTGAGGTTTTGTGAAAACCAAGGTGGTATTGCCAAAATGGAGAGACCATTGGAGCAGACTTGCCTGGGGCGAGCTGAGGGGCTGCAAGCAGTCCAAAGGGGTAGCTGGCATTTGGAAAGAGGTCCTCCGAGTTTGCTGACTTCAGTAGGGTTGTAACTGGTAGCCAATATTGCCTGGGTTATAAATGTACATGAAGTCTGTATTTCACAGGACTAGGCGGCTTAAACAATAGAAACGTACCTGTTGTTTTAGTGCTTAGTCACTCAGTCGTGTCCAACTCTTTGTGACCCCAGGAACTTTAGCCCAGAAGGCTCCTCTGTTCATGGGATTCTTCAGGCAAGAATACTGGAGTGAGTTACCATTTCTTTGTCCAGGGGATCTTCCCCACCCAGGGATCGAACCTGGTCTCTTCTGCATTGTAGGCGGATTCTTTACCATTTGAGCCACCAAGGAAGCTCTTTAAATTAGGGCCCAATTTTTATGACCTCATCTAACCTTTATTATCTCCTTTTAAGGGCATTATTTCCAAATATAGTCACATTGAGAGTTAGGACTTTAACGTAAATTTGGGGGTGGGGTGGGACACAGTTCAGTGCATTACAAGTCTCTTTGTCATATGTATGTTTATTTCAGAACCTGGAAACCTGTTGCGTGGGCTGACATATTCTTAAAAACTGAACACCATGAAATGACTTTTCCTTCTCTTTTCTTCCTGTTTCTTTGTCTTAGTGTGAAGCTTTTTCCAAACTGTCAAATGAGGTTGCCAGGTTAATTACAACCTGGTATGACAGCGATGTTTCCATGGGCTCTAGTGTGGACTGGCCTGGTCACATCATGCCATTTGTACATGTGTGTGTATTGTGATGTCTGGTGGTGGTGGTTTAGTTGCTAAGTCATGTCTGACTCTTGTGACCCAGTGGACTGTAGCCCGCCAGGCTCGTCTGTCCATGGCATTCTCCAGGCAAGAATACTGGAGTGGGTTGCCATTTCCTTCTCCAGGTCATCTTTCCAACCCAGGAATTGAACCCAGGTCTCCTGCATTGCAGGCAGATTCTTTATCAACTGAACTGTAAGGGAGATCCTTGGAATGGTGACCTCTGGAATGGTTTTCTATTAGTAGGAAATGAACTTGCCACCAGAATGGTGGGATTTCCAGTTCCTTTGACTTAATTTCACTTGGGAAGTGTCAGAGAAGAGCAGCAAGCACAGTGCATTTTCCATGAGCCCTGATCAGTCTTAACTGCTCAGCTCAGGGAGACCCTGAAGCCACATGGGTTTGTGCCCTCAGGCTCTTGCGCATGGGTGAGTGGAGACAGCTGCTAGAGGCCAAGTCTCTATGTTGGCTTCCTAGATGGGCGTCTGACCATATGAGTATCTTTCGTAATTAGATGAGTTACATCAAAAGGACCAAACCTTTGTCATAATTTAGATTTTCTCTTGGTCTGAATCATTCTTTGAGGTGTTCTGAGGGGGGAAGAAAAAGACACTCACACTTGGCTGGTGCTTGGTAAAGCGCTGTGACTTGAAAGAAGAAGATAACTGAAGGAGTGCTCATGTCAGATTATGTCATCTGCATAATCACTGACATGTCTTCCTGGCTTTGGAGGAGAAATGACTTGTTAGTATCTCCTTGAACTTGGCTTCCATCACTGTGTGAATAGAAATGAGGATGCTGCTGCCGCCACTGCTAAGTCACTTCAGTCGTGTCCGACTCTGTGCAACCCCATAGACGGCAGCCCACCCAGCTCCACCGTCCCTGGGATTCTCCAGTTAAGAATACTGGAGTGGGTTGCCATTTCCCTCTCCAGTGCATGAAAATGAAATTGAAAGTGAAGTCACTTAGTTGTGTCCGACTCTTTGCGAACCCATTGACTGCAGCCCACCAGGCTCCTTTGTCCATGGGATTCTCCAGGCAAGAGTACTGGAGTGGGGTGCCATTGCCCTCTCTGGAAATGAGGATGAAGTCTGGCTTTTTGTCTGCCTTTCAACACTGGTAGCATCTTTCACCAACCATAATTGCTGCTGTCCATTAGACCTTACAACACGTGAGGTGCTCTTCTGAGCTTTTGTCTTTTGATTCTATTTTTGTTGTTGAGACTTGAGCTCTGATCTGAGTCCCGGGCACACATCTAACTGCCTGTGTAACCTTTGTATTTGGGCACCTAAGGATTAATAGCATCCGAAACAGACCTGTCTCTCTCACCTCCATACCTCCCTTCCCCTCCAGTCTCCCCCCTGGGTGTTTGAGTGAATCTCCTTAGATCTCCTCCTCTCCTCCATCGCCGCCACTCCACTTAGAGCTACTGTCCCTTCCTTGCGGTGGCCTCTAGATTGGTCTGCTTGCTGCTGTTTGTTCCATTATATTTTTTTTCCTCCAGAGAGCAGCCCGAGTGAACCTTGTAAAATACAAGTCAGGTCAGGTCTCTCTGCTCCACATCCTGTGATGCTTCTCCCATCTCATTCAGAATCAGAGCTGGAGGCGTGCAGCCTCCCTATAGGCACTGGCCCTTCTTACGTCTCTGGCCTCTGGTGGCCCCTTCTGCTGCTCACTCTGTTCTTTTTTACTGTGGTTAAATGAGAGAAAATTGACATATACCGTTACACTAGTTTCAGGTGAACAACATAATCATTCAGTACTTGTACTTTATGAAATAATCTAGTTCATCATATAGTAAGTCTGGTTAACTTTCATCATTGAGTAGTTACTTTTCTTGTGATGAGAATTTTTAATGTCTGCTCTTGGCAACTTTCAGATTTACAACACAGTGTAATTAACTGTAGTCATTATGCCATATGTCACATCCGCAGGATTTAGTTTATAACTAGGTGTTTGAGTCTTTTGACACATTCATCCATTTTGCCTACTCCTCACCTCCTGCCTCTGACAACTACCAGTCTGTTCTCTCTATTGGTGCTGTTTTCTTTTTAAAGATTGCACATGTGAGTGAGATCATCCAGTGTCCTTCTCTGTCTGACTTATTTCACTTAGCACAGCGCCCTCAAGTTCCATCTCTGTTGTCAGAATGACAAGACATGCATTTATATATGTTTACATGTGTGTGTGTGTGTGTGTGTGTGTGTATACACACATAAACACACCACATTTTCTGAATCCTTTCATCCATTGATGGACACTTAGGTTGCTTCCGTATCTTGGTTATTGTAAGTAGTGCTCCAGTGAATGTTGGGGTGCGTATGTTTTTTCAAGTTAGTGTTTTTTCCCCCCTTCAGATAATACCTAGGCATAGAATTGCTGGATCATATGGTAGTCCTGTTTTTAATTTTTTGAGGAAGCTCTTTTACATAGTGGCTACACCAGTTTCGCTTCCTACCAACAGTGCATTAAGGGCCCCCTTTTCTCCACATCCTCCCCAACCGTTGTTACTACTTGTCTTCCTGATGACAGCACACTGACAGGTGTGAGGTGGCTGCTTCCCTGTTTTGCCCACTGTCTTCTTTGCTGCTCCCAAGCTGACATCCCCACGTGAGGGGCTTTTCCGCATGCTCATCTCTTCCTGGCATGCGCTTTCCCCACTTCCTTTGGGCCTCTGGCGATGTCATGTGAGCGCTCTCATGCTTCCGTACCCACTGGGTCTCAGTTGAGTTCCATATTCACTGCGTTTATTACTACCTGATGTGTCCAGTGTTATTTGCTCATTGCCTGTTTCACCCTAGATTTCTTCTCCTACGGCTGGGTTACCAGGACCTCAAACAGCTTCTTATGTGGCAGGTGTTAGGCACATATTTGAATGAATGAAAGCATGAATTTGTCAAGTTATTAAATGTTATGTTATGCATGAAAAGTGTTTGTTCTTATATGATCATTTAAGTTTTTTTTTTTTTTACTGTTTTTTATGTAAAAACGATACATTTATGGCATCAGAGTTTCCTATTTTGCTTAAAATATTTCTTCATATCTCTTGAGGTTATTTGTATTTCATGCTAGATTATCTTCTTAAGAGTTTTAAAAGGATTTATCCCATTTGGAATTCTTTTTCTGCATTATGTAAGGGAGCGTTCGTGTTTTTCTTCCACACAAAGGACCAGTTCTGAGAAATTGCACTCATTAGCTGTTGTCCTGCCTCAGAGATTTAAAGCACTGGCTCTGGCATGTATCAGTTCCTCACATCCATCAGGACCTGTTCCTGACCTTCTCTTCTGTACCACTGGTTTGTCTTGTCTGTCTCTGGGGCAGCCCCAAACGTGTCGTAATACATTGGCTTCATAGTGAGTTTAAGTGTCTGAGGAGTAAGTCTCTCCCATGCTGATAACATTTTCTAATTTTCTTGAATTTTCTCAGGGACTTATTTTTTCACATAAATTTTAAATTGATCTTACACACTGTTGGGATTCTCATTGGAGTTATATATGTATTAATTTTAGGGAGATGTAAATTTTTGTGTTGTCTTGTAATCTGTTTTAAGAAAATAATCGAAAACATGATGTTGAAGTGAGTATCTCTATATCCTGGTCATAGCAGTGTCACGTTGAAAGTAGCGCAAGGGTCCAGTAATAGAGGAAAGGTGACATAAACTTAAAGACATGTTCAGAGCCACTCATTCATTTCACACTGCATCAGGTATGTGAGCCTGCTCTGTGCCAGGACCTCGGCCTTGTGCTGGACACTAGGACTAAATGAAAAGT